CCCGTGTTACGTATTAAGCTGGACTACCTCTAACAGATTGCTTAGTCAAAACAATGTGCTGGTAAAACTGGTAAGTCAAGAGTGAGTGAGTGAAAGGGTATGGTTTTACGCCACTTTTAAAGCACAGCTCCAGCAATATCACAGCCATGGACACCAGAAATGGGCTTCAATAATATTGTACCTTTTGTGGGGAATCGAACCCGCGTCTTCGGCGTGACGAAATTTAACGCTTTAACTACTAGGCTACCCCCAATGCCCCTCGTGATAAGTCAGTTAGTGTGTAAACATCGCCATTGTTCCTTCCAGCTGAGGTGAAATGGGGGTTTAACACGGACTTTAGATTATTCCAATGACATGGACTATTTACCACACATAGGTATGTATTGATCAGGTAGAAAATAAAAGTAAACTATGTATAGCAAATAGAACAGATGTACTTAACTGCTTCTTGTCCAGGACCCTAGATTTTAGCTAAGATAGGTCGTGAAGTTAATGTTACTGTGATGGCACCTTAGTGGTTCTTGCCGCTAGCGCGAGCTTTGAAAATCTAGGCCCCTGGTCGCCAGTGGTATATTATAGTCAAAATACATACATTGAACTTTTCACGGGTTTAAATGAACTGTAAAATGTAGACCCTTTGATTTTATTACAACCAATGCTTACTGAACCAATCTTCAGTGTCCTTTAGACAGTGGTAGATTAGACAGCTGAGACTAGGACAGTGGAGATTAGACAGCCGGGACTTTTACTCTTGAGAACTACTGGGATGACCTTTGGCGAGTACTTCGACCTTTGCCGAATCTTCTAGACTGGGGATCATGGCAAGATGGTGGTTCCTCCACTGCCCCATCTGTCACCCGCAAGGAAGATGTGGGTGAATGGAAATATTCAAGGCTCAAGGAGACAACAAGTAAACCTATATAGCACCATATATGAATCGATGACGAGCCGATGTCACAGATAATTCTGCAGACTGTTCTTAAGTCCTTAAAATTCGCTTATCTGCAGTCATATACGTACATGTAAAAATATACTGACACTCTTTCATCACTCCAATCTCCTCCCTACTTATAGGAGCTTCTAACATAAAAAATACCGGACTGACTGACTTTGCCTTTCCACGCTTTGTGCTAACATTCCAGCAACATCATGGTATGGGGACACCAGAAATGGCTTTCACACATTGTACCCATGTGGGGATTCGAACCCGGTCTTCGGCGACGCAGCCAACGCTTTTAACCACTCAGGGCTACCCCAATCGCCTCCTAACATAAAAATATGTAATAATCTCAACTGATTATTAATAGTTGTATATTGTAAAAATATTTGAGAGTTAATACCTAGTCTAGAATTACTAATGCATTTTGTGTGTTTACTGTAAATCATGAAATTAATATGAGCATTTTTATTAATGCTAAAATGCTGCCAGTACTCTCTCTTCTTGCATTTTATAATGACCCATTTCCAGTTCGACCATGTCTACTTTGAGAACCTATTATGACAGGGCATTCTCCAGCCATGCAGGATCATTTTCTCGCGATCTTTGCTCACCTTTGAAATCACAGCTTCCATCCAACTGGCATGAAGCAATCATGTGATCAAACATGGCAACGCATCCAAACATCATCAGCTCATTTCCATTCATTGCTTAACAAGCTCAATTCAGGTTATTTGGTACATAACAAGTGTGACAAGAAAATGAACAACACAAAAGATTCAGGGTGTCACATTGTATCATCAACACAGATTCCTAAGTTCGCGGTATTGATTTCATGACGATTTTAGACTAGACCCTCGCGATCATTCGAGGAAATTTACCTAGTATTAATTTCATGATTTACAGAAGTACACAGTTTTAAATCAAATAATACAGCCTTGTAGAGTTGGGTGCACTAATAAACGCGAGCATTTCTGTGCATCTTTCATGTATCACCAGAAATTAATTTGTGGTCTGTAATCAGCCTGATAACGTTCCGTTATAGCAACAGGACTTACTCAGAAAAGGGCATTAGAAACCCATAATGATAGCAAGTGCATTGTATGGAAGTGTGGGTACAGAGTGATGGTTTCTTCAGGGATTGCCCTAGGCTCTTGGACAGGGGAGTCACCTTGAGTCACCAATTTATGTAGAAATATTTATTAGATGCATTAGCTATCATTACTACACATGACAGATAACAGACTTCCTAAAAGCTTATAATATGATATTTTGTTTAGATACAAAAAGTTAGCTGGGTATTATTTTATTACAGAATCATTATTTAAGCTTGGCCTGGACACGCATGGGTATATCAAGAAGTTGGACATTGTTATTTTGAACAAGATAAAGATGAGACTTAATGATGTTTCTGTACAAGAGTGGCATTCAATTATAACTGAGAGTACCAGATACCAATAATTATTCTTTACATAAACAGCAATATTTTCCAGAAAATATGTAACAAATTTCAAACTTTTCAAATTTGAGAGACGATGATTAGCTTTACTAAGAACTGGAGGCCAATTACAGGTAGATATATCGTGATCTAGAAATAATATACCCAAAGAAGATAGGATTTGTAAATTTTGCAACTTAAATGTAAAAGAAGATGAATTCCATGTTATTTTAAAATGTACAGTGTATGATGAAATTAGACAACACTATATATTCCAGAAATCCATTAAGAATTGTAATTTTTAAATGTTTTGCATACTTATGTTCGATAGTAATAACGAAACTGTGTGGAACTCTGTAACACTTAGCCATTTCTATAAGATATGAAAAGATGAAACAAAATGGGCAAAACCATAAGTACCAAATATGTTACATTTCCATTACCAATATATTTATGTGTATGACATTATATGTTTATGTATGTGAGCCTAAGGCCACGCTAATACAATAAACTGAATTGAATTGAATTGACTCCCTCAAGTGTCATATGCATATAATAGTGAGTGAGTGAGTTTAGTTTTACACAGCACTCAGCAATATTCCAGCTATATGGCAGCGGTCAAGTAAATAATCGAAGTCTGACCAGACAATCCACTGATCAACAGCATGAGACATCGCATCTGCACAACTGGGAACCAATGACATGTATCAACCAAGTCACTTGGAACCTTTACCACCGATCCCGTTGGCGAGTCTTCTTGCGATCAGCATGGGTTACTGAAGGTTCATTCTAACCTGGACCTTCAGAGGTATTTCATATAATAAGGTGTCCAACGTCAGTATGTTTCTGTTTCTGTTTTTACCTTTATCATGCACGAATGTCGGTTGACTTCACATCGCATCAAATCGATCCAACAGTTAACCTGAGTACTTTCAACACAGAGTACATCAAATACATAGGATATCTGCATCAGGGCAATCCCTGTTTCTTGCCTTGGTTCATCGAAAGTGGTGATTAGATGTTTGATTTAAAATGCTACCTTTATATAATAAAAATAGGATAAAATAAAAATAAAAATATTTTCCACTCAAATTTTCAAACACTTTTCCTCATAGCCACATTACCTAACACTCATGACAAATAAAGGTGAAAATTCAAAGATTACCCAATATTCTGAATCTCCACTCTCTGAGGATGCCAGGAATCGACTGTTGCCATGGTGACATGACAGTTGGATCCTGAGCAGGAGAGTCCTTTGAGGACTGTGGATTGAGGAAGTCAGTACTGCTGGGAGTTGGCGTACGTCGGGACCGTGTCTGTCGGAGCCTGGGCTAGACAGTTCAATGACATGGTAACCAAGCTGGAATGCAAAGTAACCATAGTAACAATCAGACTCACAAGATCAAATTTGCTTACTTTTCTATCCACACTTAAAATAAGAGCAATTATAATTAACACTTATTATAAATGGACAATGTTAGCGGTAGCTAACAACTAATCAGATACAACTGGTCTCATATTCACATAGATATTCAAACAAGGCCATCAAGATGGAACTACTTATACCACCCACACAAATGTTGCTATGTATGCTTGATCAATAAATTATGAGTGAGGGTGAGGTGAGGTGAGGTGAGGTGAAATGGGGTTAAACGTCGCGATGTGTGTGGCTGATTGTACTAGCCCAGACTTAAGCTGGTTTTATAGTGCGAAATGACTGAGATACCAGCAAGAGGACGATGAATACCCCACTCAGACACATTATACTGACTCTGGAGTTTCGACTCAGTCCTTGTTGTACACATTAATGCCGCAGCAGGCAGGGCCCAACAAGTTACCATATTTTTACGTCTTTTGGTATGACGCGGCCAGGGATTGAACCCGAGACCTTCCGCTCTCCAATAAACCATGAATACACAACGACACTTAGAAAGTGGTCAAATGTAACATAGGTTATACATGAGTACACTTTCTCAGTGAAGTACAGAATCTAGTACTTTTGTTAGGTTGAGTCCCTTCCAGGAATGAACCCTCACTCTCAGTCAGGCAACTAATTGCCAGCACACAGTCAGCGATCTAACCCACTCAGCCACTACAACTTTCTCACTTTCACTGACAGTTACCTGTCCAGTATCGTTCTTTCCCCAGACCCACACTGTGTTCTCTGTATCCATGGCGATGTTGAACTCTCCACCAGATTTCACACATACAATATTGTGGTCATTAATCTTCGTCAACATTCGTGGAATTTTCTGAAAAATGACGCAAGTTAATGACTATCATCCTTCTTCATTACCAGAATAAAGGAAGGAACAAAACTAGACCCTCGACAGTTTATCCTGAGTCTACTGCTACTAGAAGTAAATCAAAGAACACACTATTCTTTCATCTACATATACAGTCTGAGTCAAAATGATACCCATGAATCACAATCTAACTCCAAATCGGTTCATGATCAAACAGGAATTTCCTCAGATTCCAGTCTGGAAGAGTTTTGATACAACTCCTAAATGTTGATACAACCCCTACATGTTGACATCTTAAGGTGCGCATACTTCCTGCCCTTGAGGCGGTTCCTACAACAGTACTACTATTACTTTACCCTCGTAAAACTTCATACGGAAAATCAAAACAAACTGATGATAGCTTGTTATGTAACTTTTTTATTTTGGAGACAAACGTTATGAAACTTTTTCCAGAGTTGGTCTGATGTTTTCATTACATTCTGCACTGAAATGAATGATTCACTTTCACTGCTCTCAGATTGTATGCTTATGATGACTGGATGAATGGTGCCAGTTTAATTTCATTGGTATCATGTTGACTCAAGCAGACTATAGTAAATCTGTCACAGAATGATTGACTAGATAGTAAATCAGTCACAGAATGATTGACTAGATAGTAAATCTGTCACAGAATGATTGGCTAGTTATAAGAAAGAATCATGTGTTGCTTAACTTCTCTTGAGTAGTATAAAATATACAGCAACAGCTGCTGTCCGTAATAACTAACATTCACATTGTTGCTACACTGATCATTGATGGTTTCAACTGAACAGAGGTTTCTGTTTATTCACATACTGTGGTTCATTGGTTGAACCTGTACATCAATGTGGCCCATTGGTTGAACCTGTGTACATCAGTGTGGCCCATTGGTTGAACCTGTACATCAGTGTGGCCCATTGGTTGAACCTGTGTACATCAATGTGGCCCATTGGTTGAACCTGTACATCAATGTGGCCCATTGGTTGAACAAATGTACAGCTACATCAATGTACATCCCATTGGTTGAACCTGTACATCAGTGTGGCCCATTGGTTGAGCCTGTACATCAATGTGGCTCCATTGGTTGAACCTGTACATCAATGTGGCCCATTGGTTGAACCTGTACATCAGTGTGACCCATTGGTTGAACCTGTACATCAATGTGGCCCATTGGTTGAACCTGTACATCAATGTGGCCCATTGGTTGAACCTGTACATCAATGTGGCCCATTGGTTGAACCTGTACATCAATGTGGCCCATTGGTTGCACATGTACATCAATGTGGCCCATTGGTTGAACATGTACATCAGTGTGGCCCATTGGTTGAACCTGTACATCAGTGTGGCCCATTGGTTGAACCTGTACATCAATGTGGCCCATTGGTTGAGCCTGTACATCAATCCGGCCCATTGGTTGAGCCTGTACATCAATGTGGCCCATTGGTTGAACCAGTACATCAATGTGGCCCATTGGTTGAACCAGTACATCAATGGGGCCCATTGGTTGAACCAGTACATCAATGTGGCCCATTGGTTGAACCAGTACATCAATGTGGCCCATTGGTTGAACCAGTACATCAATGTGGCCCATTGGTTGAGCTCTGTACATCAATGTGGCCCATTGGTTGAACCTGTACATCAATGTGGCCCATTGGTTGAGCCCCTGCACATACCTCATCCTGTTTGCTGCCGATGCCAAGCTGTCCGTCCAGGTTCCTGCCCCACACGTAGATCTCCCCCTCGATGGTCTGGAGAACGGTGTGGAGGCTGCCACAAGTCACCTACAGATAAACACAGTGAGTGAGTGAGTGAGTTCAGTTTTACGCAGCACTCAGCAATATTCCAGCTATATGGCGGCGGTCTGTAAATAATCGAGTCTGGACCAGACAATCCAGTTATCAACAGCATGAGCATCGATCTGCGCTATTGGGAACCGATGTCATGTGTCAACCAAGTCAGCAAGACCTGACCACCCGATCCGGTTAGTCGCCTCTTACGATAAGCATGGGTTACTGAAGATCAATATTCTAACCCGGATCTTCACGGGTGAGATAAACACAGTCAGTACATGAAACATCTGTGTACATCCAGTCAGTACACTTAATACATCTTAGTATGACCATGTCAGTACACTTAATACATCTTAGTATGACCACAGTCTGGACACTCAATACATCTGAGTACATCCAGTCAGTACACTTAATACAACTGAGTACATCCAGTCAGTACACTTAATACATCTTAGTATGACCACAGTCTGGACACTCAATACATCTTAGTACATCCAGTCAGTACACTTAATACATCTTAGTATGACCACAGTCTGGACACTCAATACATCTTAGTACATTCAGTCAGTACACTTAATACATCTTAGTCCATCCAGCCAGTACACTTAATACATCTTAGTATGACCACAGTCTGGACACTCAATACATCTTAGTACATCCAGTCAGTACACTTAATACATCTTAGAATGACCACAGTCAGGACACTCAATACATCTGAGTACATCCAGTCAGTACACTTAATACATCTTAGTATGACCACAGTCTGGACACTCAATACATCTTAGTACATTCAGTCAGTACACTTAATACATCTTAGTACATCCAGCCAGTACACTTAATACATCTTAGTATGACCACAGTCTGGACACTCAATACATCTGAGTACATCCAGTCAGTACACTTAATACATGTTAGTACATCCAGTCAGTACACTTAATACATCTTAGAATGACCACAGTCAGGACACTCAATACATCTTAGTACAGCCAGCCAGTACACTTAATACATCTGAGTTCATCCAGTCAGTACACTTAATGCATCTTAGTACATCCAGTCAGTACACTTAATACATCTTAGTATGACCACAGTCAGGACACTCAATACATCTTAGTACATCCAGTCAGAACACTCAAAACATCAAAGTAGGACCACAGTCAGGACACTCAATGTATCTCAGTACATCCACAATCAGTATACTAAATTCAAATACAATACACTCAATACATTTCAGTTCATTGAACAGTTTATGAGGTTTAGGATGTTTCTATATATTTATATCCATAGAGAGCTGAATCTCAGAATATTACAATAATACATATATAATATGTAATATACTTAATTATATTTTCTGATAGAAAAATCACCTTTAAAAAATAAATAAAAAATGACCAACCACTAACCTGTGTTATTTTCCCATTGACATAAGCTGAGTCTACGACACTGGGACTTAGATAGCTCTCCACAGGGTCACTGAGATGCTGACCCAGTTGTCTGGCTCTACGTACAAGCTGTGCGGAGTATCGAAGACTGTGTGGGTGACATCCCCAAGAGTACACACGGTTGCTACTGGTTACCGCAATCTGCAAATACACGTTCCAATGAATTATCTACATCGAGATTGCTGTCAATGACTCTGACCAACTATTCATTCAAATTATTAACCTGCTACAATTAGGTATAGTAAAGTACGGTTATAATTCAGACAACTTTTACTGTAGTTCATTATGACCGTACTTCACTATGCACATTTTGACTGAAAGGTACAACCATTGGTCAGGTATGAACAAATTTGTATTAATTTTATTTTCTGACAGATATTCATCTTAAGTAAATCAGGGAAATCAACAGAAGGATCTTAGCACTGTCATAGGACAGGCAGGATAGTTAGGATAACTGAGAAAGATGGGGTAGCTAGGACAGCTGAATAGTTAGGATAGCTAGGATAATTGGGATAGTTAGGATAGCTAAAAAATAGCTATGAGAGCTTGGATAACTGGGACAGTTGGGATAGATAGGATAGGATAGTTGGAATAGCTAGGATATCGTGTTGGAGAGCCTGATCTAGATATGATATCTAGCATCTTACAGAATGGAAGTATTTAGTGGCAATGATGCAGACAGGCTCTGGCAGCAGAGAGATCCGGGTGGGGCAGGACTTCTTGCTGTTGTCCCCCAGGCCCAGCTCGCCAAAGTAGCCACACCCAAACGAGTACACAGCGCCCTGCAACAACAAACACTGCCTGAAGTTACGTCTATAATGCACTGTTCTGTTCAACAGGTGGCTGTTCATGGTGCAGCCCTATTCAGTACACTCAGTTTTCACGTTCTACTCCCTGTGCACTGGGGCGGTGGGCTAGCCTAGTGGTTAAAGCGTTGTCTCGTCACGCCAAAGAACCGGGTTCGATTCCCCACATGGGCACAATGTGTTAAGCCCATTTCTGGTGTCCCCCGCCGTGATATTGCTGGAATATTGCTAAAAGCGGCGTAAAACTAAACTCAGTCAGTCAGTCAGTCCCTGTGCACTATACATCATAAAGGGTCAATTGTGGTGTTAGAAGACACTTTACTATTGCATCCTTCTGGGTACCCACTCACTGCAGGGTGAAGAGAGGCATATGACTAAAGTCACTTGCCTTAAGTGAAACAACATAAAACACATTTTATTGCAGGCAGGACCGAGACAAATGTGAGGAGTGAAAGTGTGCGACCAACATAACGTAACTTTATCCTGATTTGTGACCTGTGCACTCAACCCATGTACAGGACCATATGCCAACATATGCTGAACTGTGATGTGTGGATTCTGTGGAGCTGTGTGTAGATTCTGGGCACCAAAATTCTGAGGATTTACATTTGCTATAGATCAACACACATCATCACACAACCGCTACTTGTCTGTCCGATACCCAGATACTCCAGTTGTCTGAGTGCAAAATAGCAAGTAAAATCTCCAAATCATCAGCAGCAGCATCACCTTGCCTATCTGATCAGGTTAGCTAACAAAGACTCATGGGATGATACAGGAAGGATCTCAGGAGGATCCAGGAGGAGAGAGTGAGTCAGTGAGTGAGTTTGGTTTTAAGTAACTTTTAGCAATATTCCAGAAATATCATGGTGGGGACACCAGAAATGGGCTTCACACATTGTACCCATGTGGGGAATGCAACCTGGGTCTTCAGCGTGATGAGCAAACACTTTAACCACTAGGCTACCCCACCGCCCCTGGATCCAGGAAGAACTGAGCAATGGCACATGGAGTGATGTAAGGGATAACAATCAAGGCGGCCGGCCGGCACACAAAACATGTATTTGTGACTACTACACTGGACATAAGACAAGACGAGACTGATGCAAACATGCAGCATGGACGAGTTCATAGAACTCAGTCATGATTGGCTCATGGCATCACATGTGATGCACTGGCATCACAATACTAAAGGGACCATTCGTCTCATGTTTACATCTCACAGACACTGACATAACTCAGTCTAAGTAAACTTAAACTCAATATTATTCGTTGCACTGCTATACTGAGTCTAACAAAACCTTATGGAAGGTCCTGTCAGGTAACCTTTGAGCGACCTATGACCGTCCAATCAAACGCGAGATGGCCGAACAGATTTAACCAATCAGACAACGGCTACTATGTAGGTTTTTTCGGGACTTACAAAATGGATTTTCTCTTCCCCGGTCGCCAACACTGATCTCATAACAAATGAAAACCCGCATAGAACACAGATATATGACCTGCAGAATATACGCTTATGGGTTTCTGTTGACAAGGCTATCATTAGCTAATAACTGACAAAACGCTATTTTCAGCGACTGTTTACTCGCTCTTGTGGCGTGCTCCATGTGCATCAATCGGAAGCGATCGTACGGAAAATAACATTCAGAATCGTTTGGGTACAAAACGTTTTCGAGGTAAAAGTTCAAAAGGTATGTGCAAATGTCAACTTTCGCGATTTCGTAAGCTGTGTTCTGATTGGTCCATTGAAAAGGTCGGCTGATGCGACCTTCCACAAGGTTTTGTTAGACCCAGTATAGCAGTATAATGAATAAAACTGAGCCTGTTTACTTAGACTGTGACATAACTTAGCATGTGAGTTGTATGAAAGGGAGTTATATGAAAAAGGTATGAAAAATTTGTATGAAAGGGAGTTGTATGAAAGGGAGTTGTATGAAAGGGGTTTGTATGAAAGGGGTTTGTATGGGGGTTTGTATGAAAGGGGCTGTTGAAAGCAGGTGTATGTATGAAAGTTGTATGAGTTGCATGAAAGGGAGTTGTATGAAAGGGTTTGTATGAAAGGAGTTGTATGAAAGGGTTTGCATGAAAGGAGTTGTATGAAAGGGGTTTGTATGAAAGGGGCTTTGTATGAAAGGAGTTGTATGAAGGGGCTTGTATGAAAGGGAGTTTGTATGAAAGGGAGTATGAAAGGGGTTTATGAAAGGAGTTGTATGAAAGGGTTTGTATGTATGAAAGGGGTTTGTATGAAAGGGAGTTGTAAAGGGAGGTTGTATGAAAGGGGTTTGTATGAAAGGGGGTTTGTATGAAAGGAGTTGTATAGAAAGGGTTTGTATGAAAGGGGTTGTGAAAGAAGGAGGAAAGGAGCGTTTGTATGAAAGGAGTTTGTATGAAAGTGTATGAAAGGGAGTTGTATGAAAGGGGGTTTGTATGAAAGGGGTTTGTATGAAAGGGAGTTGTATGAAAGGGGTTTGTATGAAAGGAGTTGTATGAAAGGTTTGAGTTGTATGAAAGGGTTTGTATATGAAAGGGTTTGTATGAAAGGAGTTGTATGAAGGGAGTTGTATGAATGGGAGTTGTATGAAAGGAGCTTGTATGATGAAAGGGAGGGATGTATGAAAGGGTTTGTATGGGTTGTGTATGGGGTTTGTATGAAAGGGAGTTGTATGAAAGGGGTTTGTATGAAAGGGGGTTTGTATGAAAGGGGAGTTGTATGAAAGGGGTTGTATGAAGTGAAAGGGGTTTGTATGAAAGGAGTTGTATGAAAGGGGGTTTGCATGAAAATGAGGGGAGTTGTATGAAGGTTGTATGAAAGGGCCTTGTAAAGGAAAGGGAGCTGCATGAAAGGGGTTTGCATGAAAGCGGGAGTTGTATGAAAGGGTTTGCATGAAAGGAGCTGTATGAAAGAAAAGGAAAGGGCTTTGTAAGGAAAGTTGTATGAAAGTGGGCTTGTATGAAAGGGAAGGAATGAAAGGAAGGAAAAGGAATGAAAGGAGTTGTATGAAAGGGCTCCAGCAGAAAGGAGGATGAAAGGGGCCTTGCATGAAAGGAAAGGAGTTGTATGGAAAGGGCTTTGTATGAAAGGAAGAAAAGGATGAAAGGAAAGGAGATGAAAAGGAAAGGAAAAGGAAAAAAGGAAAGGAAAGGAATGGAAAGGATGAAAGGGCCTTGTATGAAAGAAAAAGGAAAGGAATGGAAATGAAAGGAGGAAAAAGAAAAGGAGTTGTATGAAAGGAAGGAAAAGGAAGGAATTGAAAAGGAAGGAAAGGAAAGGAAAAGGAAAAGGGAGGAAAGGAAAGGAAAGGAAAGAAAGAAAAGGAAAAAGGATGAAAGGATGAAAGGAATGAAAGGGAGTTGTAAAGGAAAGTTGGAAAGGAAAAGGAAAAAGGAAAGGAAAGGAAAAGGAAAAGGAAAGAAAGGAAAGGAAAGGAATGAGAAGGAAAACAGGAAAGAAAAGGAAAAAGGGAAAAGAAAGGAAAGGAAAGAAAGGAAAAGGAAGTAATGAAAGGAAAATGAAAAGGAAGGAAAGGATGGATGAAAGGAAAGATGAAAGGAAAGGAAAGGAAAGGAAAGGAAAAGGAAAGGAAAGGAAAAGGAAAGGAAAGAAAGAAAGAAGGAAAAGAAAGAAGGAAAGGAAAGGAAAGAGGAAAGGAGGAAAGAAAGGATGAAAGAGGAAAGGAAGAGGAAAAAAGGAAGTGAAGGAAAAGGAAGTGGAGTTGTATGAAAGGAAGGAAAGGAGTATGAAAGGAAAAAGGAAGGAAGGAAAGGAAAAGAAGGAAAAAGGAAAAGGAAAGGAAGGAAAGGAAAGGAAAGAAAGGAAAAGGAAAAAGAAAAGGAAAGGAAGGATGAAAGGAAGGAGATGAAAGGAAAAGGAAAGGAAAAGAAAAGGAAAGGAAAAGGAAAGGAAAGAAGGAAGGAAAAAAGGAAAGGAAAGGAAAGGAAAAGGAAGGAAAGGGAAGGAAAGGAAAGGAAGGAAAGGAAAGGAAAGGAAAGAAGGAAGGAAAGGAGTGGAAAGGAAGGAAGGAAGGAAAGGAAAGGAAGAAAGGAGGAAGGAAAGGAAAGGAAGGAAAGGAAAGGAAAAGGAAAAAGGAAGGAAAGGAGGAAGGAAAGGAAAAGGATGAAAGGAAAAAGGGGAAATGAAAGGAATAGTATGGAAAGGGGAATAAAAGGGAATGAAAGGAATTGTATGAAAGGGAGTTGTATGAAAGGGGTTTGTATGACAGGAGTTGTATGGAAAAAGAGTAACGCTATTTTGTCAGGGCATTATCATTTGCAGAAGCCTGAGGTCATTCATTAACTGTGCATCTTATCAGTTATTTCTGATAACATTGGGCCGTTTTAATGATAATTCTATCCATTTTAGCTATAAACCCTCGATGGTACACACTTTTAGGTCCAGATACAATGGTGGCCAGAACTGACAGTGGGCTAATTTACAATGATATAACGGCTCAGCCTTTAATTCCAATCATAAACTTCCTTTTTAAGTCTGTTTTTCAGATTTAGAAATCAAATATTCTGCTGATATACATCTTACACTGAGATTATTTAGAAGTCTTCAAACTGATTTGTTGAATGGAAAGTTTACCTGACATGATGTGAAAAGTTTTGCTTTGTTGTTTGTTTAACTCCGCACTCAGCAATATTGCAGCTATATGGCGGCTGTCTGTAAATAATCGAGTCTGGACCACACAATCCAGTGGTCAACAGCACGAGCATCGATCTACGCAATTGGGATACGATGATGTGTCAACCAAGACAGAGAGCGACCCGATCCTGTTAGTCGCCTCTTACGACAAACATGGGTTGCTGAAGACCAATCACCAACGGTTGTTTAGTCAGAACAATGGGCTGGTAAAACAGGTTCGAGTCAAGAAATACGTGTAAATACGTTTTTCTTCATCCACAATTAAGTTTCTTTCTTTTTTGTCAATGCTGCACTCAGTAATTATTTGATATAACTGTAGAGGCATTAAATCCAACATTCACCCACACGTTTGTCACCACTTACTCGCTGTTCTCCGTGAGAGCCAGACTGTGGTACTGACCACACTCTATACTGACAACCGTCTCCGACAGCAGGGACTCGATCAGCATGGGACGGGTGTAGTGGTGTCGTGTCCCCACCCCCACCTGGCCGTACTGTGACCGCCCCCACCCATACACCTGAAACACATCAGGGGCCCGTTTCATAAAGCGATTGTAGTGCTACGACTGTCGTAAATCTATGTTATAGTATGGGCTAACGTTATGATCACCTTAGCACTTGCTTCATGAAATGGGGCCCTGGCTTTTTAGTTTTCAAAATCAAAATCAAAATTAAAATGTCAGAAATTATCAGCTACAGTGTCGCTATCTGCTTAACATGTTAATGCTACAAGTGCTAGTCAACAAGGAACTCACTAGTCCCTCCAGACTGGGGTACACCAGAAATGGGCTGCACATATTTGTACCTATGAGGGGAATTAACCTGGGTCTTCAGTAAAAATACTCATCATATTTAGCATTCATTGGCTCTGTAGAAATAATTGATAGAGAATATTATTATCTAGATGTTCAGTATGAAAGTGGATTTATTATTGTGCTTTTGCCTACCCCTTGCTGTGTGATGACAAGCGTGTGTTCTCCCCCACATGCCACTGACAGGACCCGCATCTGCAGCATGTGCAGCGTCTCCACCCGTGACGGCGCTGCGATGCTGTTGTCTGTCACCAGGTCACCATGACCCAACCTATATCAACAAACACCTGTGTGAACCAAGATCACGTTCTCAGCTGCATACTGGAGTAGTCTCCCCTGACTCAACTGACAATGTAATGTAACATGCTACATTTGGGATTAAACATTCCCAGTATTTATCTGACCATGACAATGAATGACATGACATGTATGACACATGAGTCTTGACTGCGTTGTACATGTTCAAGTGATATAAGTGCAGACTAGGCAAGCAATGTACCATGTCATTGAGGTACCATGACACACACTTAAACAAGCCACCACTATTGCTGATGTTGTCTAAGCAGCATCCATCCATCCATCCCTCCATTCATCCACTCATTCATTTCTCCTTTCATCTTTGTCCATCTGTCCATCCACCCATCAATCCATCCCACCATCCACCCTTCACTCCATTCACCTAACTACCCATCAATCCATTCATTCGTCTACCAATCAATCCATCCTACCACCCACCCTACAATCCATTCACCTAACTACCCATCAATCCATTCATTCGTCTACCAATCAATCCATCCTACCACCCACCCTACAATCCATTCATCAATCCATCCTACCACCCACCCTTCAATCCATTCATCAATCCACCCTACCACCCACCCTTCAATCCATTCATCAATCTACCCTACCACCCACCCTTCAATCCATTCATCAATCCACCCTACCACCCACCCTTCAATCCATTCATCAATCCACCCTACCACCCACCTTTCAATCAATTTATCCATTTATCCATCCATCAACAAAATGCAATATTGCCTTATGACAAGAGCCTGCAGATAATATATTTGATATTGAGAACAATGTTCGCAGCCATCAGGGTATGATGAAACATGTCAACCAAGGATAACCAGCCAATCAGTTTGGTCGGCTTTTACTACCCGCACTGGTCACTGGGAACCTTTATCAACAAAGAATCACCACGTCCAAGTCTGACCATCCCATCCGATTTAGTTTCCTACAACAAGTTTCTGACACACACAACTGAGACACAACAACTGCTGACCTGCCACTGTTGGTGAGCCCCCAGACGTAGAGGTCGCTGTTCCTGATGATGGCGGTGTGCTGGCTGCCACAGCCGATGATGGTTGGCTGAAGGGCCAGCTTCCGAGACATCTCTACGACAGGCTGTTTCTTTTCCTACACAGAAAGATGGGTGTGACAGGTGATTAATACACTGCCTTTCCTTAGGACAATAACGACTGACTGGCAATGGTATTGATGCAACAATCAATTGCTGGGGATCATAACTGACCATGGTGAAAAAGAACTTTCTCTTACTATTGAACCAGTGAAAAATATGAAACATTAGGCAACCTCTAACCCTTCTCCAGAACTTTGTAATCCTTAGATAATTGTAAAGCATTTGGGTTCAACCAGAATGAAGTAATAAGCAGTTTTATAACCTGTTGAGTAAAGTGAGTGAGTGAGTGAGTTAAGATTTAACGTCACATCGGCAATATTTCAGCCATATCGTGACGAGAACATATTTGACATTGAAATGGAATATATGTATATAATAAAAACCTGTCTGCAAAGGACAGTAAAACAACTAGAATATCACAATTACAACTAAAACTAGTGTAGAAACTTAAAACTAATAACACTATTTGGACAATACAATATAAAAACTGACTATAGATCGCTAACAACTGAAGGTAGATCACCATCCTAGGGACTGTTGAGTAAAGACAATACTGCCATACCCTGAGCTCCTCCAGTTGAGTGTTGACGTCTGCCAACATGTCTGCCAGATCCAGCTGTGTGCTGTCTGCCTCTCGCTTCTTGTTGAGCTGCAGGACGACGGAGATGAAGAAGTCCATCAGCCGACACAGGTTGGAGGTGCCCATATCCTGTAGGAGGAGCAGTTTCATAGAGATGTCATCCGTCAATTGTGACTTAGTTGGGTTTTGCGCAACTTTTAGCAATATTCCAGTAATATCACGGCAGGAGACACCAGAAATTGGGCTTCACATATTGTACCCATGTGGGGAATCAAACCTGGGTCTTCAGTGTGGCGAGCAAACGCTTTAACCACAAGACTACCCAACCGCCCAGATCCATCAATAATATTCAAAGCAGCATCACAGCTAGATTAAGACTGACTGACTGAGTTTAGTTTTACGCCGCTTTTAGCAATGTTCCAGCAATATCACGGCGGGGGACACCAGAAATGGGCTTAACACATTGTGCCCATGTGGGGAATCGAACCCGGGTCTTCGGCGTGACGAGCCAACGCTTTAACCACTAGGCTACCCCACCGCCCCAGCTAGATTAAGAAAATATTAGAAAATATTAGGTTTGACTGTATAATTTCTTCACTGATAGAATTGGTAAAAAATACAGTTTGCAGTCAGCAGAATAAATATGTCAAAGTGCATATTTTGGGAGTTGGCATTTCTGTAGGCCAATAAAACAAAAGATAACCTTTCAGATGTAAATCTTAACCGATAAATTAAAAATTCTTTAATAGTCTGTTGACGTAAAGTTATTTTAGAATATAGGAACTCCTACCCTCAAGAACTAAAAGTTCAGGCTAAATTTGTTGACCTAACTTTGGTATTACCTACCCCGGAGAAGTCAAGGACATCACTTGTAAAGGAGGTCAAAGAAGAGATGCTGGTTGTCCTGGAAACAAACAGGTAATGCTTCAGCTACCATGGTAACTAACACAGGTGTAGCTAGCTACTTCTAGAGTAGCGGTGTCTGTTGAGGATGCCCCTCATCACAGGTCGGAAGGGGTTAATCATCTCCAGTAACCATGGTAACTAACACAGGTGTACCTACCTCCTCCTGGATTAGTGGTGTCTGTTGACTGACTGACTGACTGAGTTTGGTTTTACGCCGCTTTTAGCAATATTCCAGCAACATCACGGCGGGGGACACCAGAAATGGGCTTCACACATTGTGCCCATGTGGGGATTCGAACCCGGGTCTTCGGCGTGACGAGCCAATGCTTTAACCATTAGGCTACCCCACCGCCCCTGGTGTCTGTTGAGGATGCCCCTCATCACAGGTCGGGAGAGGTCAAACATCTCCAGTAACCATGGTAACTAACACAGGTGTACCTACCTCCTCCTGGAGTAGTGGTGTCTGTTGAGGATGCCCCTCATCACAGGTCGGGAGGGGTCGAAGACCTCGGCCAGCGAGACCAACAGCTCCTCATCAAGCAGACTGAGCTGGTTCTCCATGAGACCCACATTCTGTATTGCCAGCTGGGGCTTGGTGAGGAGCAGACGCACAAGTTCGTCTGCACTGATACACTGCAGCAGTGACCCTGGTACATGAGATGAGAGCGGGACATTAAAGTTAAGTCACTCCTTCATCTATACTGCGGCATATTATGTCAGGACAGTTTGAATAAACCGTCCATATAGGTCCTTTTAGGTTGGACTTTTCCATTCAAACATTGTGGAAGGAAGCCTTGGGTTGTGGTTCTGCTTCTTCATGCACATTCTTTGGTCAACTTGGTATAAATCAATTAGCACACCCAACTATCCCCACTATCCAAGATGGCGTCGTTACCTTGTCCAGCTTGCAGCAGATGAGCACTGAATCCCCGCGTGACGAGATCGGACAGAAGGTGGGTGGGGATGTTGAACTGACTCCTTGAAGACAGCAGCTCCAACGCCTGGACCACCAACCCACGTGCCTGGAATATGGGGACAGTTCTATAAATATGTTTGAAGCTTATATGAAGTGAGCGAGTGAGTATGGTTTTACGCAACTTTTAGCAATATCCCAGCAATATCACAGCGGGGGACACCAGAAATGGGCTTTACACATTGTACCCATGTGGGGAATCGAACCTGGGTCTTCGCCGTGACGAGCGTTGACGAGCGAATGGTATAACCACTGGGCTACCCCAGCGCCCCTTATATGAATAAGGTCATCAGACTTTAATAAAAAGACGAAGAAATATTAGGGCAGACAAAACACAAAATTGTAAAACTTTTGAAGGATCCAGTTAGCAGATCTAGTTCCCATTAAAGTGATCGTAGTGCTACGACAAATGTAAGTCTATGTTAAAGTATAGGAGTTACGATCACCTTCGTGCTACGGCAGTCGTAAGTCTGTGTTAAAGTACGGGAGTTACGATCAACTTAGTGCTACGGCAGTCGTAAGTCTGTGTTAAAGTATGGGAGCTATGATCACCTTAGTGCTACGGCAGTCGTAAGTCAGTGTTAAAGCATAGGAGTTACGATCAACTTAGTGCTACGGCAGTCGTAAGTCTGTGTTAAAGTATGGGAGCTATGATCAACTTAGTGCTACAGCAGTCATAAGTCTGTGTTAAAGTATGGGAGTTACGATCAACTTAGTGCTACAGCAGTCATAAGTCTGTGTTAAAGTATGGGAGTTACGATCAACTTAGTGCTACAGCAGTCATAAGTCTGTGTTAAAGCATAGGAGTTACGATCAACTTAGTGCTACGGCAGTCATAAGTCTGTGTTAAAGCATGGGAGTTACGATCACCTTAGTGCTATGACTGTCATAAGTCTGTGTTAAAGTATGGGAGTTACGATCAACTTAGTGCTACAGACTGTCATAAGTCTGTGTTAAAGCATGGGAGTTACGATCAACTTAGTGCTATGACAGTCATAAGTCTGTGTTAAAGCATGGGAGTTACGATCAACTTAGTGCTACGACAGTCATAAGTCTGTGTTAAAGTATGGGAGTTACGATCAACTTAGTGCTACGGCAGTCGTAAGTCTGTGTTAAAGTATGGGAGCTACGATCAACTTAGTGCTACAGCAGTCATAAGTCTGTGTTAAAGTATGGGAGTTACGATCAACTTAGTGCTACAGCAGTCATAAGTCTGTGTTAAAGTATGGGAGTTACGATCAACTTAGTGCTACAGCAGTCGTAAGTCTGTGTTAAAGCATGGGAGTTACGATCAACCTTAGTGCTACAGCAGTCATAAGTCTGTGTTAAAGTATGGGAGCTACGATCACCTTAGTGCTACAGACAGTCATAAGTCTGTGTTAAAGTATGGGAGTTACGATCATGTAATTTTTAGAGTAAAATTGATATTTTATACTTATCCTGACTCATGCTCTTTTGCTTGTCTTCTTCTTCTTGCGAACATAGTGGAACACTTGTATCTCCCCTAATTGAAGCTCCCTTCAATGTAAAATCACTAATTAGTACTCACCACGAGGTTACCTCCCTTCCACAAGCTGGGAGCGGGGCGCCACCTCCACCCATGTGCCTCACTCTCTCCTCATATACTGAGCCCAACATTTGAATTTACAGGAAATCCAAAGTGTTATGTGGGGAGGATGGGAGGAGCTTACCTCATGAGTCAGGATAAGTATAAAATATCAATTTTACTCTAAAAATTACATATTTTTCCTTATCCTGACTCATCTCTTGCTTGTAGAATCCTAACGGAAAGGAGGTGGGAATATATAATACTTTGGATTTTAATAATTAGTGATTTGAACTGTGATGATTGTAATAACCCTATGGGAACTTCATAAAGGCACTGAACTGATGAATTCCTGCTGCTAACTTATCAGCTGCCATATAAAGGTTATTACAATGTACTTATTATGATAAAGTATATATAACATTAATACAATGCTTAAGACTAATAGACTTAAGCTTGTTAATATGCTAGTATAAACTCCTTAGAGTTTGTTAGCTAAAATACTTTAAGATATAAACATAGTACTAAGCTTAAGATATGATTAAACTTAAGCTAATTATATAATAGCAAAACTCTTTAGAGTTTGTTAGTTAATATACTTATATGATATAGATATAATGCTGAGCTTAAGATATGAATAAGCTTTAGCTACATATATAATAGCAAAACTCTGTAGAGTTTGTTAGCTAATATATTTTTACAATATGAGTATAGTACTGTGCTTAAGATATAATTAACTTAAGCTACATATACAATAGCCAAAAAAAAAACTCTGTAGAGTTTATTAGCTAATAGATTTATAATGTAACCATAGTACTAAGCTTAAGATAAGATTAGACTTAAGCTAAATGTATATAGCAAAAACTCCTTAGAGTTTATTAACTAATATACTTTTATGTTATAAACATAGTACTGAGCTTAAGATATGATTAAACTTAAGCTATATATATAATAGCAAAACTCTGTAGAGTTTTGTTAGCTAATACATTTTATAATGTAACCATACTGCTTAAGATATGATGAAACTTAAGCTAATTATATAATAGCAAAAAACCCTTTAGAGTTTGTTAGCTAAAATACTTATATGATATAAACCTAGTATTGAGCTTAAGATATGAAGGAAAACCTTAAGCTAAATATATAATAGCAAAAACCCTTTTAGAGTTTTGTTAGCTAATATACTTATATGATATAAACATAGTATTGAGCTTAAGATATGAAGGAAACCTTAAGCTACATATATAATAGCAAAAACTCCATAGAGTTTGTTAGCTAATACAAGTTATAATGTAACCATAAAGCTTAAATTATGATGAAACTTAAGCCAAATATATAATAGCAAAAAACTCTTTTAGAGTTTTGATAGCTAATATACCTATATGATATAAACATAGTACTGCGCTTAAGATATGAATAAGCTTAAGTTACATATATAATAGCAAAAACTCCGTAGAGTTTGTTAGCTAATACATGTTATAATGTAACCATATTGCTTAAGATATGATGAAACTTAAGCCAAATAGCAAAAACTCTTTAGAGTTTGTTAGCTAATATACTTATATGATATAAACATAGTACTGAGCTTAAGATATGAATAAGCTTAAGCTACCTATATAATAGCCCAAACTCTGTAGAGTTTGTTAGCTATATATTTTTACAATATGAGTATAGTACTATGCTTAAGATATAATTAACTTAAGCTACATTATATAATAGCCAAAAACTCTGTAGAGTTTGTTAGCTAATGCATTTATCATGTAACCATAGTACTACTCTTAAGATATGATTAACTTAAGGTAAATATATAATAACCAACTCTGTAGAGTTGTTAACTTATATATTGTATGATGTAATAATCATAGTACTGTGATGATAAAAGAACTTAAGCAAATTATATATAGCATGTAGCTATTTAGTACTGTTATAAGATAAGTAGAAATCTGTAAGATTGACTTATCTTCTCGAGAACTGTCAACTGTTGTCGCGAGGACCATGGGATCGAATTGGTGGATACCTGAGGCGTCCTCGGTGGTGATATCTCTCAGATAATGGTTGGCAACCACCATATCGGATCTCAGAAATAAACCCTCCATTATTTCAAATAACATTTGTGTAGATCAATTGTAGAAGTTAAGCTCTAATATCATGAGTATTAAAAGCTCATGGAGGGTCGGATTAGGTCCATCCGTCTTGTATGCACGTAGTATGACAGTTCTGATCAAAAGCGGAGATATAGTGCGTGAGACTTCATTCTGCGTAAGTTGATGATAGAGGAAATAATCTGTTGCATTTTCCCTCCTGTTTGGTTCGGTGGAGATAAATTTACAGTGCTCTTGCTGGCCATCATTGATAGAATCATCGTATCATGGAGTCCAAGTATGTCATCCAGGCGTGTTCATAAACCTCACTTGTGAGGTGTTGGAACACTATATTCAGATCCCAAGTTGGAGGGTGAAACTTCCGTTTTAATTCTCAATCAGAAAGCTTAAGTAGGTTTACTAACCATCTAGTTGTGTTAGTAGCTTGATGATGAAATTCAGCTGTAGTCTGAGGCGCTGTGGATTTAGATCCACTTGTATCCCGTCGTCTAGGTTATTAAGCTCTTGCGAAGTCCTTGGCGATGTAGGTGCACAACCAGGTGTGTCTGTCCTCGTTGAACTTTATGTAAAATCGCCTGACTGCCGTGCCTCGTCCTAACTTGACAGGGGAGGTCTCTAACCTGAAGAAAGCAGCCCAATCATGAAGGTTCAGATTAACTGGACTGTAAGGAGGCTTGCTTTCGTTCACTGATATATAGTTGTCACTTGTAGCGTAAGTCTTGAACTGTGAACTAAGATCGACCTCTGCGTGGAGTGTTGTCCAACAGCGGTCCAATCAGAACAAGGCATTTTGATTCTGTAGAATACCAGCTGTGATGTCACCGGTGTAGCAGGAAAAAACCTTGTATAAAATCTTGCCGTCGTTGATATTAGCATAATCGTCGGTCTTCACGTAGCTTCGAAGTTACCCGAGTGACCCGCGTGTTTGAGGGTTAAAGGTAAGCGCGAAACCTCCGGTAGAAAATACCTCGCTCTGTAATATTAATGCTGGGTAGGTTATTTTCCTGGCTGTCGTGAAAGTAACTTCAGTTTTGAATATAATTCCGACTTCCTTATATAAAGGTACAATAAACTTGCAAGTTGTCAGCTTGTAGACTGTATACATGAATGTATCGTCATAATTGTAGAATTAAAGCTGAACTTGTTGTACATATTTCTTCTCAGAAACTTTGGCGATTATGAGTTATACTGGCTGTAACAAGGCTGCTGTTCAATTTCGATATTGAATTGTCTGCAGATCTGCGTAATGGTCGCATGTAGATAATCGTATCGTAGTCGGGATTGCATATTCTAGCAATCTATCACGGAAAGGTTGATTCCTGTGAAGATCTATGAAGCGTCGTTGACTAATTAATACAGCGGCGTTCTGTGTTGTAAATAGCCTGTGCAATTGTCTTAGCGTAGGCTTATAGGCGGCATATGGCATACAGTTGATAGACAACTTATCACGATGTCTTGAAACGGACTGGCGAGTAGCTATATATGATGAGTGGCTAATATATGGAGACCTTGGAGGAGATTTCCTCGGTGGGCCGGAGGAGACTTAGCGAAGCTCTCGAAGTATCCATTCTAGATTTTCTGTGTGAAGTAGACTTGTAGCCACTTAGCCTTAGCGACCTTAGCGAAGGTATCGAGTCAGAGCCCGATCAGTATATATATATATGGCTTGCTTGCCCGAGCGACCTCTGTGTTCAACAGGAGTGAGTGAGTGAGTGAGTTTTTAGTTTTCGCCGCACTCAGCAATATGTGGGGTCGGTGAAGCGCTACTCCTCAGCGGCGTCCCTTGTAACTGGTGAGGCTCTAGCTCCTTGTGCGGAGGTGGCCTGGGACTTCCTTAGCGAAGTGTCTAGAGTCCGATCAATATATGGCGTTAGCTTCATACAGGGTGTGGTTCTTGCTGGTTCTGCATAAGTAGAGCCGAGTAGATCATCCTATCATCTTCAGAAGTCGTGTCCGCGAAATCTGGTGATAAGAATCTCATTGATCGTTCTAGATCTATTAAGGCCAAGAACATACGCCTCTGGCGTTTGAACTTTATGGCTTTATGGTAGGCTGTGTCCACATTCTGTGGCACCGCAGCAATCAGTCGATCGGAGGTAAGGTGATGGCGTCTGCATCGTCTTCCTTTATCAGGTATGTCTGCGCCGAGTTGCCACTCTTGGAAGGTGAAGAGATCTAGGTTGTTTACCATCAATATCGTATCTCAGCGTCTGAAAAATGATGCCTCCATCATCTTCTATCCCAGCATCGCTGATGAGAGGTTGATGCTCTTCTGATGGTGGACTGTGTATTTCTATCTCTATGTCGGGTGGCCTTCGGGGAGACCTGACTGTAGACTTGTGTGCAGACTTGTGTGGTGACCTGTGAAGGCGATCGGCGTGGTGATGTCTGAGGAGATCGGTAGCGGTGAGCGGCGAGGAGATCGTCTTGGTGATCTCGTCTATGGGTTGACCTTCGGAGACCTGTGAGGAGAATGTTGATAGCCAGCGAAGCTCTTGTGTAGTCAGGTGTCGCCGAAGGCCTTGGCGAAACTTCCTCTGCGTCGGTCCTGGGGAGCGGCGACTTGACCTTCCAGCGAAGGCTTCCGTGAGAGTCTGGTGGTCTGAGTCCGCATCTAAGGATGAAGCGAGGAAGGTGATGATCTATCCGCCGCGAGCCTTGAAGGCTGTACATCTGGGTCGCCGTCGAGGTGGTCTGCGACTTCCTTCGCGAAGGTGGCTTCGTCGTGGCTGCTAAGCTGGCGGGGGTGCCTCTGGGGTGTCGTCTGCGTTGGAACCTTCAGCGAAGGCTCAGGCCTTGGGCTGGCTTCTTCTCCAGTCTGTAGTGGCCCTCCATCATGATCATGATTTGCGCGCAACAGTTCATCTGGGATGGTCTGCGGCGAAAGTAGTCGGTGCCCTCTCTGCGATGTTAGCGGCGGGGCCCTCAGGGAAGTCGTCTGGCGTCAGTGTAGAGACATCAGGCTGCATGGCGATCTCTGCTGATGTCACTGTAGCTGTCTCCGGTGCGCTTCTTGTGGCGTCGTCGGGGGATGATGATCGGCTGATCATCGTAGAGGCCAGTTCAGCGGCTGGAACAATCTCGGTTGAGAAAGTCCTAGTAGACTTAGTTGATTTCCCCTCAGAGGTCGGCGCTGCCCTGGGGTCGCGAAGTCTCGTTGAGTGTTGATGTAGCGCACGGGACCCTCAGGAAGATCATAGAATATCAGCGTTGGTACATCAGGCTGCATGTTGATCTCGCGCTGACATCACTGTTGCCGACATCGGTCATTCTTTTGATGTACATCAGGTATGATGATCGGCTGATCATCATACAGGCCCAAATCTGCGGCGGGAACAATCTCGGCTGAGAAAGTTCAAGTAGACTTAGTTGATTTCCCCTCAGAGGTTCGCGTTGAGATGCAGTAGAAACCCTCTAGTCTTGACTGCGGCGATGGGATGTCTGGGGAAGCAGGGCGCTTCTTGGAAGCGGACTCGTCCCCACGCCTCTCCACCACTCTAGCGGAACACCAGGCGGGAGGGTCGACCAACAGCAGTAGACTGGCGAGGGTTCAGGTGTATCAGTCATGGCTAGACTCTGCATCGCGACCTATCTGCTGCTTGGCGTCTCAAGCGCCAAAGTAATTATTTATTAAAGGCAGAATTGGATAAATTAGTACCGCCAACTGCAGCGTGAATAAAATGAAACATGGCGCGCAGTACAGCTAGGGCATATTAAATCTTGGATCAGCAGCAGAATAAAAAGCGTAATCTGCAACAGTACAGAATTTTTATCAAGCGTAATCCACTGAAACAACCACGGCGTCCATGAATAAACAGTAGAAACCGCGACTAAATATCAATATATAATTGTTGAAGGATACTAGCTAAACCTCTATAGATGTCTATCACGAGGGTAACTAACTAAATATAATCAAAGGATATAGTGTGTCGGAGACACAGAGCTCTCACGTCCAGCTCACTGGGCGAAGAAGGAAGAGTGAGGCACATGGGTGGAGGTGGCCCTCGTTCAGCTTGTGGAAGGGAGGTAACTTCGTGGTGAGTACTAATTAGTGATTTTACATTGAAGGGAGCTTCAATTAGGGAGATACAAGTGTTCCACTATGTTAGCAAGAAGAAGAAGACAAGCAAAAGAGCATGAGTCAGGATAAGGAAAAATCACTGATGTCACTTCCTGTAGACGGCCATGACGGGCAAGGTTCCCAACTCGCTTCGTGAGAACACTGTTAAAAGAGTAAGTGAGTATGGTTTTACGCCACTTTTAGCAATATTCCAGCAATATCATGGCAGGGGACACCAGAAATGGGCTTCACACATTGTACCTATGTGGGGAATCGAACCCGGGTCTTCAGCCTTACGAGCAAACACATTAACCACTAGGCTACCCCATCACCTCACACTGTTAAAGACGTATTAAAACATGACATTGATTTAAAATTTGTAGATATTTCTAAATTCTATATTAATCACTCAAAATGCCCCAGTGAAGAAAGATGAATTAATTTGCATGTATGGTGGTAGGTGCATTTACATCCACTTACTCATATGAAACACATAAGGTATCTCTTGCAATTATGTCAACAAATTTGCATTAGGGTAAAATTCAAAGTATCTAACTTTCATTAATATTTCATCTTACTGATCTGTAAGAAAGCCATATCACATCTACAGTGTATATTTTAGGCAGATTTTGAGCAGGCAAACTAGTAGTTAAATATTCGAGCACTGAATCAGGATTCAGTCATACACTATGTAACTTAATTTTAATAATTAATTATTACATTATTAAATATGTGAATTTCCTTCAATTTTCAACAGAAAAAGAGAAGGCATTGGGGTGGGGTTGTGAGAGGTGAGGTGGCAGCATTTAATCATAATTTTTATCTTAATGTGTTGAATGCATAGAGGAAGAATGATGAATGTTTGTTTCGTAAAACGGTGAAAGGGTATTGTGAAGTTGGGTGTATTTCATCCTGTAAGACAGATGCAAATGTACATAACTATTTACATGCGGACACTTATATGGAGTGACATGTGATGAGCAGTTGTACTTAGTGAATGAAATTGAACTTAATATGGATGAATTAAATCTCCAAAGTTGTCCACTGCATTTAAATGTACAAGAATCTTGGTGATACAGACCTTGGACAGTTGGTAAAGACGAACAGATCGGGAGAACTCTCCTGCTCGGAGGAGGTGATCTGCTGCAACCTCAAACAGTGCTGTAAGGTCAAGGCCAATGCTGATACCGAGGCTCTCAGCATATGCAGCATCTGTGTGTTGTATCGCCAGGGCAAGGAACAGACGCTCTGGAGAGATCCTGACAAGGGGAGGTAAACATGTAACAAGATATAGGCTTTCTCTCGACTGGTGTGTAACCTAGGTTACATTAACTGTTCTTAAACTGGCTTACAATGGTGTTGTTACATTGATGTTTCACTAAGTAAAACTGGTTTTACAATGGGCTTACATCATGCACCATAATAACACTGGTTTTACACTGGTTTAACATCATGCACCATATTAACACTGGTTTAACATCATGCACCATCTTAACACCGGTTTTACACTGGTTTAACATCATGCACCATCTTAACACTGGTTTAACATCATGTACCATCTTAACACTGGTTTTACACTGGTTTAACATCATGCACCATCTTAACACTGGTTTAACACTGGTTGAACATCATGCACCATCGTAACACTGGTTTTACACTGGTTTAACATCATGCACCATCTTAACACTGGTTTAACATCATGCACCATCTTAACACTGGTTTTACACTGGTTTAACATCATGCACCATCTTTACACTAGTTTTACACTGGTTTAACATCATGCACCATCTTAACACTGGTTTTACACTGGTTTAACATCATGCACCATCTTAACACTGGTTTAACATCATGTACCATCTTAACACTGGTTTTACACTGGTTTAACATCATGCGCCATCTTAACACTGGTTTAACATCATGTACCATCTTAACACTGGTTTTACACTGGTTTAACATCATGCACCATCTTAACACTGGTTTAACATCATGCACCATCCTAGCACTGGTTTTACACTGGTCGTGTTACACTGATGTCACACTGATGTGAAACTGGCTTTACGCTGGTTTGACACTATTACATATTATAGTCATGTTACACTGATGTTACAGTCACAATACTTTAATAGACACAAGGGAGCACAGCTAACACTAACCTTGGTCGACATTCATAAATTGCCTGGTTTGTTATGACAATGCATCCATCTAAAACAGTGTGGGAGGTGACTGGAATAGCTTGAATGTTTGGGGGAAGACTTGTTGGCTGTTCCATCTCTTCCCCTTCCTGCACCGATCGAAGACGTTCCTCCTCACGCTTCTCATGCCAGTAAAATGGGAAACATTTCTTTTGAACTCCAAGCAAGGTTTCGTCTGGTGGCAGGTCAAACTGTTGAACTATCGCTTCTTTGTTGAAGTCCTACAAAAAGTTCATAACATTATAGTAAAATATGTCCCTCTTATTAGATAGACAAAATTTACTGACAACAACGTCTTTATTTCATGAGTGCAACATTTCGATACAGATTCTTGTACCATTGTCAAGGTTGGAGGCAACGGTACAAGAATCTGTATTGAGGTTTTACGTCGTGCTGGAGAATATTTTGCTCATATGACGATGTGCATGCGTGTGTATGTGTGTGTGCTGCTTGTACTAGCCCAGACTGAAGCTGGTTTTATAGTGCTAGCCCACTGAGATACCATGCCGCAGTGAAGCATGAATACCACACTCAGACACATTATACTGACTCCAAGTCCTTGTTGTACCCATTAATGCCGAGCTCTAGGCAGGGACCAACAAGTACCATATTATAACATCTTTTGGTTTGACGCGGTCAGGGATCGAACCTGCGACCTTCCGCTTTCCGGGTGGACGCTCTAACCACACCATGGAGGTGGTCGAATCTGTATTGAAACGTCACACACATGAAATAAAGACGTTGTTATCCATAAAGTTTGTCTATCATGTACTTCCAAGCTTCTAAAATGCCACTGAAAGAAGTCCCTGTTATTGCCAGTGCTACACAAGTTCAGAAACATACAGCAATATTTGTCCTGTTATTGCAAACATCATGTACAACAGTTTTTCTATAACACAACATTATTACAGTTATTATTAATAGGACTTTAACAAAATACTAGTTGCACACTGCTAATTACCCTAGCAATAGGAAAGAATTGGGTGTTCCTTTACTTCTTGTGAGAGACATAATATTGTGATACTATTATCAAAACCTACGTAATCCTAGCCCTCACCTTGACCTTGACCCTAACCACAAAACTAACATTCAACATTAATAAGATTGAATTAAACTAAACAAATTTGTTTAAACATTTTATGGATCCCCTCAATTTGTTTTTCAAAACCCATGAAAAAGCAAAATAAACATAAGTTCCCACGAACCATTACTAAACATATCATTTGATAATAAACAAAGTACTAGTAAATACTCAGGACTTTGCGCACAAGTTGGCTATCAGGAAAATAGCATGTTCTATGTGATGTGTCAGTAAGAATCACAAGAGGACGTACAACATATCGAATTGAGTAACAAACATGACTGACTGACTGGGTTTGGTTTTACGCCGCTTTTAGCAATATTCCAGCAACATCATGACGGGGGACACCAGAAATGGGCTTCACACATTGTACCCATGTGGGGATTTGAACCCGTGTCTTCGGGTGACGAGTCAACGCTTTAACCACTGGGCTACCCCACCACCCCAGTAACAAACACGAAGCCTCATCCATACTTATACATCAGATGAGGTAGGATAAACCTTCTTTCAGCTTCTAGAGAAGATGTGAACATGTCTGGGACAAAAAGAAAGTTATTCACCATAATATGAATATAATATGATTGTTATGTCTGATTGTTCATTTCCAAAGAAAAATGGTTTCTGATCAACACTTAATGAAACCTTTTGAAAAATGTAATTTTCTGAGTTAGAAAAGGATATAGTGCCGTATAGGGGACTCAGGCGCTCTCCTAACCGTCCACTAGGGCGAAGAAGGAGAGAGTGAGGAGCTGGGAGACGGGTGGTGCCGTCTCCCGCCAAAACTGGGAAGGGAGATAACTCTTGGTGAGTAGTGATTTAAGATCTGCTTTTTTGAAGGGAGCATCAAAAAGGGGATTCAAGTGTTCCACTAACGTTCGCAAGCAAAATAGCATTAGTCAGGATAAGGAAAAATAATTTGCCTTTCATCCATACTAGTTGGTGATATTAGTCATGTTGGTGGCCAAGCTCAAGTAGTGCGGCAGCGTTGTATACATGCGCAGTGAAGCGCCATAAAATCAGACGCATTTTCAATCCAAATTGATACCGTCTGATTTTATCGATTGACCAATTAAATTTGAGCATTTCACGTAGCCATGGTAGAATATAAACTTAATCCAGAATACTAAAACTACCTTACAACAATCAATATACACAACAAAATATAGAACTGGTGACAGACAATATACAACAAGGCTATAATGAAATACACATGTACTGGCTATTTTATAAAATTAATTCAGGCAAACATGCAAAAAAATATCGAAAGCTGATATTGCTACTTATCATGAAGAATGGGAAAAATATATGATTTGAAAAATTGTTACAAAACATAATCAGGGCAAACAGGGATTTGAACCCACAATACAAAGGATTCTGTCTAAGGGAAGCAACTCTGCACAGCTAATTGTGGTGCCGCTTAGCATATACTACATGATGAAGCCACCTGTACCGACACCCTTGTCCCCATCTCAAACAAGTCAGCCACTGTTCACCACGATTCCCTCTTCATCCTTCTCTTAGTCCCATAGTGACTGACTGACTGAGTTTGGTTTTACGCCGCTTTTAGCAATATTCCAGCAATATAACAGTGGAGGACACCAGAAATGGGCTTCACACATTGTACCCATGTTGGGAATCGAACCTGGGTGTTCGTTGTGCTGAGTGAATGCTTTAACCACTAGGCTACCCCACCGCCCCTCGCACCTTAGTACCAGAATTCCAATGGGAGAAAACGAACTTTCTTACAACAGAAATGACAAATACAGTTCTGTCTACCTGCCAGGGATTTGCTCAGCAATTTTACTGCTTTGGTCATTTTATTATCAGTTGTCAATGTCCAGTCTTTTAAAAGTTTTTGAGGGAGTGAGCAAAGTATCACGTTTTTCTGTCAAAATTGATGGGTTTGTTGTTTAAAGCTGCACTCAGCAATATTCCAGAAATGGCGGTGGTCTGTAAATAACCGAGTCTGGGTCAGACAATCCAGTGATCAGCATCATAAGCATTGATCTCCACAATAGGGATACGATGACAAGTGTCAACCAAATCAGAGAGCCTGAGCAATCGATAATGTTTGTTTCCTCTTATGTGTTAAAAATGAATGTAACCAGGCAGTTCTGAATGGAAATGTATAAAGCCATGCTATTATACTGTTACCAGTACTTGTAAACTGTGTGAGTGAGTGAGTGAGTGAGTGAGTGAGTGAGTGAGTGAGTGTTTATGGTTTTACATCACTTTCAGCAATAATCCAGCAATATCACAGTGGGGAACACTAGAAATGGGCTTCACACATTGTACCCATGTGAGGATTCGAACCCGGGTCTTCGGTTTGATGAGTGAACTCCTTAACCACTATGGTACCCCAACGCCCCTGTAAGCTCTGTCATTTGACATCTACACTCACAGGTCTATACTTTCAAGGGTGTTCTGTAGTGTTTTTCTTTGGATAAGATCAAAATTTTAAATCTGAGATGGTAAAAAATATTAAGCAATCATGTAACATAGCTGGTTTTTGAGTAGCTCCACAAACCCTGCATCCTTCACTCAGGTAGGGCAGTCAAGTGTCACTTATGGTTACCTAACATGATCTGTTGTGCTGTCATCGGTTTATCATGGAGAAAAGTTATTGTTTTGGAATGAAAGATCTGATTTTAATGAGATTAAAAGATTTGTGTTTGGAGATCAGGATATACATTATTATGTCGTACTGTTTGATTGATTCGTCATCTTTGAGAGGTTATTATGGTTATAGGTACTATTCATTTGTATATTAGCCTGGCAAACGAGATCCTGTATTTGTCAAAGGGAGCTAACTACACATATCATATTCCACAAATGTTTTACCTTCACAATACCCATCTGCAATTAGCAATACACATCTGAATGTTATCAAATATGTCCATATCATTGAATTATTTTACATATATAGAATATAACATCATCATCATCATCATCATCATCATCTCTATTAAATATTATAATCTTATAAAAAACAACAAATAATTACACTCAAAATTAACTTAAATTATCTCTAGTTGGTTATGTCACATCGTGTTTCAGATTCAAGGGAGATAACTGTGTGTCGACTGACCTGGTGGTCCTCCAGTGATGTCTCGGCCCGCTGGTTAGATATGATTAGCAGCCGCCTGCCGCTCACCCGTGATGTCGTGAAGATGAGACGATCTGTGAGGATCACGTTGTACGCCCCAATGGGCAGCTTGTACACAAACAGAGGGGAATGTTCCACGTGGCTGTCGTACACCTGGATACAACATGTACAACACATGTACAACATTCACAGTGAGTGAGTGAATGATCAGGGTTTAATGCTGTTTTGAACAGTATTTCAGTCATATGACGACTTGATGATTGATTGATTGAGTGAGTGAGTGAGTGATTGAGTGAGTGATTGAGTGATTGAGTGAGTGAGTGGGTGAGTGAGTGAAGTTTGGTTTAATGCTGCTATGAGCAGTATATAGAGATTATTAACCGAGTGTGTTTCCGTATCATTAATTCATTAATATCATATATTAGGAATAAAAATTGTATTATGCCAGCCTTTGGTGTGATCACAGTGAGTGATCACCTCATCAATATCAGTTTCTGATACCTGGCAGAATCGATCTGTCGTCTGCTTTGTGATTGATCGATCGAAAGCCTTGGTTGGGACCTTTCTTAGACGATCGCCTTTTATCTTGCCTCATAGTACTCAGTTTCAAGTTTCCCAAAGTCAATTATGGCAGTAATGACTCCATAACCTCTGTCATCAATTCTTACGTAATCATCAATTTTGATAATGGGAGAAGCCATGTTTGTTTACAAACTCGCCCACGCGATGGAAAACCAGCTGTAAACTCGCAACGACGTCATCAATGAAATATTTACCTCTTAGGATTCACATGGCATGTATGGAGTGTTGTGAAAGTAGTTCGTGTATTGACGTAATTTGTATAGTTATCAGATTTGGACACCAAGTTTATCAGATTGCTTTAATTACAATGTTTATTAATGCAGACTTGTTGTCGTCACTATATGGCTGGAATAATGCCGATGTGACGTAAAGCCCAACTTAACTCAACTCAGATTGCTTTATTGCACTGATAACACTCTCTATTAGATGATAAAAAGCAAGTTATATTATGGCAAGTCAGTTTCATAAAAAGCCTGAAGTGCAACAGGGCTTAGACATTCATCCCTTTGACCTATGTCAAAGATATGGTACTGACGAGCCAAGAGACAAGATGTGGATTAATTAACACATATTGTCATTGCAAGGTATTTCTAAGTATTAGTTTCCTTTTCAAGGCTTAAACAGAGTTTGTGAGGTGAGGTGAGTTGAATGTGGGTTTAATGTCGTGCTTGATAATATTTCGCTCATATGATGACGTGCATGCGTGTGTGTGTGTATGTGCGGCTGCTTGTACTAGCCCAGACTTAGGCTGGTTTTATATTGCTAGCCCACTGAGATACCATGCCGCAGTGAAGCATGAATACCCCACTCAGACACATTATACTGACTCCGAGACTCAGTCTGATCTTAGCATACCTGGAATGTGGACGTCTTGTCTTCATGAGCAGTGATGAAGTGTCGGCCTCGGGCATTCTGAGGACAGAGGATGACGGAGCGCTGGAACTGCTCGTAGCGTAGCGGAAGGAACATCTCCTTGTTGTCATCTGAAATATCACATGGATACATGAACCAAACTATCTTAACCAAACAATGACATCATAACTCAGTAAACATGAAGATATGTCAGACCTGTCTGGAACGTCTTGGTGCTGTCAACATTCAGCTCAGTACTAAATACTAACATCAAGACCAACTTACCTGTCTGAACCATGATGTTGTTGACAGGGTCCTGGAACGTCTCGGTGCCGTCCATACTCAGCTCAGTACTAAATACTAACATCAAGACCAACTTACCTGTCTGAACCATGATGTTGTTGACAGGGTCCTGGAACGTCTCGGTGCCACTGATACTCAGCTCGGCAAACATCCTATCCATGGAGCGACTCTCCAGAAGGAGCTTCAACTGGTTGTTCCCGCTGGCAGTGATCTGGAAAACACAACACCGAACATTCGACTCTGTAACACACCACCATTTGGAACCAGTTCAATGTAGGATAAAAAATATAAGTCCTTAAGGTTTGACACAGACCCCCCATCCCCCAAAAACTTATCGCTACAAATATTGAATTCCCTGAAATTCTCAGAACCATACAGCCATGAAGAATGATAGACATTCATTAGTACAATTCAATATCGTAATACCACTTGTGCAGTTCTGGCAATGACAAAACCCTCCTTCACGCAAAGACTGGATGTACTTCGTGACAACTCCTTACAACTTCGGGAAACCAGTTGTGGTACAGTTTGCATTACCAGCGCTGCTACGAGCTCATGGCTGAGGTAACTTTTGGCTTAACGTGCAGCGGCAATAACGGCCTTGTGGTAAAACTAGTGGTCTGAAGACAGACAGTTTGAACTCAACACGCTCTGCGGTCAGATCAAGTGCAGTTGAAATGATCGAATCGGAGGCACTTGAGTTCAGATTTTCCTTGAGTTGGGTGACAGCTCTTCACAAATTCGTTTTGTTAGCTCGTCCAAGTAGTATGTAGAAAGACTGATCAAAAGAATTTAATAGTTTATTGAAATAGACGGTCAATATAGCTAGCTGCAATAGAGCTAGACAGAGTAGAAAATTGAAAATTTTATTATAAATTGTATATTTATATACTTATCCTATCTCACGGTATGCACCTCTTCTCTTCTTCTACGACCATGTTTGGAAACGCTGTAGGCTAAGTTGAATCAAATCTTACTGGCCTCTGACCTGCCCTGACCTCTGCCCTCACTCCGACATCAGCACCTGTCAATCATCTCTGTAAGCGTGGAGCTCGCTCAGATGATCATGTGACTACCTGTGCCTGTCATTCTCCTTCTTGTTGCTGGGTCGTGTGGACGGTGCTTGTCTATAGAAAGTTTGTTTTCGCTTTCTTCAACTATGGGAAAGTCTAATCGCAGTAGTTCTAAGAAACGAAAGCATTGTGATAAATGCAACAGTAATTTTTCAGCGGCGGATCCACATGCCTTGTGTGTAGACTGTTTAGGCAAATGTGAATAGTCGCGTCGTTGTACTTTTTGTAAGGATCTCAATGATGATGACTTCTCGGCATATCGCCGGGTGGCTGGTAGACGATTATCAGATAGAGATCGCCGTCAACTATCTGAGGGTCCGTCGGCATCGAAACGTACTAAGGCTAATCGTCGTAACACTATGGCAGTCCGTCGTTCGAGGTCCCCGTCTCCTACTGAAGATTTCCTAGGAGAGGCATCTGATTCCTACCTTAGTGAGAACTTAAGACAACTGTTCCAACCGTGTGGCTTTAACCCGATCACTTTGGAAGACTCGTCTCCACCTAGGGTTGTTGTGTTGTCTACGTCCTCACCACAACCTCGTCTGTCTACGGTGGTTGTTACTACGTCTGTTTCTCATTCGGTGTTTCCGTCGAATGTGTCACTTGCTTATAGACCACCACATTATTCTAGTGCGCCACTTGCCTCACAAGCGTTGTTTCCTTTAGGCCAGATATCTGTGAGAGCGCTGCTTGTTGCCGATCACGTGATGTCTTTCAGAGCCAAAGCTTGTGTCCACCCGGGCGCTTACTACCGTGTAACGCGGATCGGCGCTTACTACCGGTGTTCCCCGGATCGGTGCTTATTACTGCTGGTGGTCTCGGTTCAGAGCTTACTACCGGTGTGCACGGATCAGCGCTTACTACTGGTGGTCTCGGTTCGGCGCTTACTACCGGTATAAAGGATGATGACGAATTCATCTTGCTAGCACTGACTTATCTCATTTGTCATCAAAATGCTCCTGTTTTTTTCATAAGATTGTTCATTCAATTGTGTTATTTCCATAAGATACCAGGCAGGAACATCTTGAATGAGTGAGTGAGTTAAGTTTTACGTCGCATTCAGGAATATTCCAGCTGTATGGCAGCGGTCTGTAAATAATCGAGTCTGGGCCAGACAATGCAGTGATCAACAGCATGAAGCATCAATCTACGCAATTGGGACTTGATGACATGTGTCAACCAAGTCACATACTCTAACCACCCCATCCTGTTAGTCACCTCTTCAGACAAGCATGGGTTACTGAAGATCAAATCTAACCGCTCCATCCTGTTCGATCTTCACTATATTGGATCAGTCACATACTCTAACCACCCCATCCTGTTAGTCACCTCTTCAGACAAGCATGGGTTACTGAAGATCAAATCTAACCGCGATCTTCACGGGTCAGTCACATACTCTAACCACTCCATCCTGTTCGTCACCTCTTCAGACAAGCATGGGTTACTGAAGATCAAATCTAACTGGGATCTTCACGGGTCAGTCACATACTCTAACCACTCCATCCTGTTCGTCACCTCTTCAGACAAGCATGGGTTACTGAAGATCAAATCTAACTGGGATCTTCACGGGTCAGTCACATACTCTAACCACTCCATCCTGTTCAGTCACCTTCTTCAGACAAGCATGGGTTACTGAAGATCAAATCTAACTGGGATCTTTCGGGTCAGTCACATACTCTAACCACTCCATCCTGTTCGTCACCTCTTCAGACAAGCATGGGTTACTGAAGATCAAATCTAACTGGGATCTTCACGGGTCAGTCACATACTCTAACCACTCCATCCTGTTCGTCACCTCTTCAGACAAGCATGGGTTACTGAAGATCAAATCTAACTGGGATCTTCACGGGTCAGTCACATACTCTAACCACTCCATCCTGTTCGTCACCTCTTCAGACAAGCATGGGTTACTGAAGATCAAATCTCCTGGGAACTGGGATCTTTCACGGGTCAGTCACATACTCTAACCACTCCATCCTGTTCGCCACCTTTCTTCAGACAAGCATGGGTTACTGAAGATCAAATCTAACCAGGATCTTCACGGTCAGTCACATACTCTAACCACTCCATCCTGTTCGCACACCTTTCAGACAAGCATGGGTTACTGAAGATCAAATCTAACTGGGATCTTCACTTGGTCAGTCACATACTCTAACCACTCCATCCTGTTCGGCCACCTCTTCAGACAAGCATGGGTTACTGAAGATCAAATTCTAACCGGGATCTTCAATGGTCAGTCACATACTCTAACCACTCCATCCTGTTCAATACACCTCTTCAGACAATCATGGGTTACTGAAGATCAAATCTAACCGGGATCTTCACGGGTCAGTCACATACTCTAACCACTCCATCCTGTTCGTCACCTCTTCAGACAATCATGGGTTACTGAAGATCAAATCTAACCGGGATCTTCACGGGTCAGTCACATACTCTAACCACTCCATCCTGTTGAACGTCAATTCTTCAGACAATCATGGGTTACTGAAGATCAAATCTAACCGCGATCTTCATACGGTCAGTCACATACTCTTAACCACTCCATCCTGTTCGTCACCTCTTCCAGACAATCATGGGTTACTGAAGATCAAATCTAACCGCGATCTTCACGGGTCAGTCACATACTCTAACCACTCCATCCTGTTCGTCACCTCTTCAGACAATCATGGGTTACTGAAGATCAAATCTAACCGCGATCTTCACGGGTCAGTCACATACTCTAACCACTCCATCCTGTTCAAACTACTCACCTCTTCAGACAATCATGGGTTACTGAAGATCAAATCTAACATCTTTCACGTGATCTTCACGGGTCAGTCACATACTCTAACCACTCCATCCTGTTCACACCTCTTCAGACAATCATGGGTTACTGAAGATCAAATCTAACCGGATGATCTTCACGGGTCAGTCACATACTTATCCTGTTACACTCCTATCCTGTTAGTCACCTCTTCAGACAATCATGGGTTACTGAAGATCAAATCTAACCGGGATCTTCACGGGTCAGTCACATACTCTAACTCCACTCCATCCTGTTAGTCACCTCTTCAGACATATCATGGGTTACTGAAGATCAAATCTAACTGGGATCTTCAAGGTCAGTCACATCTTCAACCACCATCCTGTTCACAATTCTTCAGATGTCATGGGTTACTGAAGATCACTCTAACCACATCTTCACGGTCCTCACATACTTCTAACCACCCCATCCTGTCACCTCTTCAGACAAGCATGGGTTACAAATGAAGATCAAATCTAACTTTCAGACAATCATGGATCTTCACGGGTCAGTCACATACTCTAACCACTCCATCCTGTTAGTCACCTCTTCAGACAAGCATGGGTTACTGAAGATCAAATCTAACCGATCTTCACGGTCAGTCACATACTCTAACCACTTCCATCCTGTTACTGAAGATCAAATTCACCTCTTTCACGACAAGCATGGGGGTTACTGAAGATCAAATCTAACTGGGATCTTCCGCGGGTCAGTCACATACTCTAACCACTCCATCCTATAGGATCTTCAGACAACCATGGGTTACTGAAGATCAAATCAACGCTATCTTCTCAGTCACACATACTCTAACTCCATCCTGTTAGTCACCTCTTCAGACAAGTATGGGTTACTGAAGATCAAATCCTAACCGTGATCTTCAATGGGTCAGTCACATACTCTAACCATCCCATCCTGTTAGTCACCTCTTCAGACAAGCATGGGTTACTGAAGATCAAATCTAACGTCTTCGCAGGTCAGTCACATGACTCTAACCACTCCCATCCTGTTAGTCCACCTCTTCAGACAAGCATGGGTTACTGAAGATCAAATCCCGGGATCTTTCACGGGTCAACCGGGATCTTCAAGATCCAATTCCAACCGCGGATCAGTCAGTCACATACTCTAACCACTCCATCCTGTTAGGTCACCTCTTCAGACAATCATGGGTTACTGAAGATCAAATCTAACAGGGATCTTCACGGTCCATCACATACTCAACCACTCCCCATCCGGTCACCTCAGTCACATACTCTAACTCTGTACCCCATCCTGTTAGTCACCTCTTTCAGACAAGCATGGGTTACTGAAGATCAAATCTTCAACCGGTCACCTCTTATTGATCTTCACCTAGGTCAGTCAATACATACTCTAACCACTCCATCCTGTTAGTCACCTCTTCAGACAAGCATGGGTTACTGAAGATCAAATCTAACCGGATCTTCATCGGTCAGTGACATACCTAACCACCCCGGTCAGTCACATACTCTAACCCATCCATCCTGTTAGTCACCTCTTCAGACAAGCATAAGCACCTCTTCAGGTCAGTCACATAATTCTAACTCACCCCATCCTGTTAGTCACCTTTCAGACAACCATGGGTTACTGAAGATCAAATCTAACCGGGATCTTCACGGGTCAGTCACATACTCTAACCATCCCATCCTGTTAGTCACCTCTTCAGACAAGCATGGGTTACTGAAGATCAAACCTAACACATACTGATCTTCAGACAAGCATGGGGAAGATCAGTCAGTCATACTCTAACCATCCCATCCTGTTAGTCACCTCTTCAGACAATCATGGGTTACTGAAGATCAAACCTAACCGGATCTTCATACGGGTCAGAACATCTTGAAGCAGCAGACAACTGTTATTATCTCTTGCCCCACACATGAATGTCGCTTCTGATTGGCTGAGCCTTTCTATTATTTTCAGTGTACCCCCGCCATTTACAAGCTTCAGTAACATTTCCTATGTACCTCGGGCTGGGAATGCCGAACTCATTTGGTACCTCGTAGTAGTACTTCTTTATCTCAAATAACATTGAATCACGTATGATGTCTGAGGAATCACCGATGTTTTTGTAGAATGCAAATCGATAGAAGAGAGATAACTCTAAATTGTTTTTCTTGTCGCCTGGTACTCCATACTATGATCTGATACCCGTGTTTCAAACAGTTCAAAACTACCACTGAGGTGTTCGGTAAGATAGATACGTTGTTCACTGGTCCTCTCGGGTCCCATGGGTTGATAGTACCCTCGATGTTTCTTTATGTTCCCTGCGCATTGGGTACATAAACAAACATCGAGTATATGAACCCATGTCCCCCATCGAGACCAGTGAACAACCTATAATATACCAATGAATACTGTAAGCAGGTGAGCTTATCATACTACATACAGAAGGACAGCGCGGTTTGAGGTTACCAGTAGTGATGTCGCCATCTGTTGATCATCCATCACTAGATCAAGTTTCAAGACAGCAGTGTCAACACGAGTAGAAGCAACAGTCTTCTTCCGCAACAAGTCGACAAATATAATCTCTCCGGCCTGGGAAACATGAAACATCATTACAACCATGGTATTAATGAGTTTACAAGTCTACTGTCCTTCAAAACAATCAATTGTGATTGTGGAAATAAAAGTACAAAGAGACCTAATAACCACTGTGCAGTGAGGAGTGGAGTGAGTGAGGAGAGTGGAGTGAGTGAGTGAGTGAGTGAGTGAGTGAGTGGTGGAGTGGTGCAGAGTGGAGTGAGTGAGTGAGTGAGTGAGTGGTGAGTGAGTGAGTGAGAGGAAGAGTGAGTGAGTGAGTGAGTGAGTGAGTGAGTGAGTGAGTGAGTGAGTGAGTGAGTGAGTGGTGGAGAGTGAGGTGAGTGAGTGAGGAGTGAGTGAGTGAGTGAGTGAGTGAGTGAGTGAGGTGAGTGAGTGAGGTGAGTGAGTGGTGAGTGAGTGAGTGAGTGGTGGTGGTGAGTGAGGTGAGTGATACCATTGCTCATACTGAAGGACAATTACAATATATACAACGGGCTATAGATCACCAGCAACTGAAGGTTGATCCGCAAACCAGAGGGTGAGTTCGGAATGCGAAGTGGGTTTAATGTCGTAAGCTTGAGAATATTTGGCTCATATGACCCAATGTGCATGTGTGTGTATGTGTACAAAGCGGGCTGCTTGTAATTAGCCAGAGATCAGAAGCTGGTTTTATAGTGCTAGGCCCACTGGAGATACCATGTCATGAGTGAAGCATGAATAATTCCACTCAGGACACATTATACTGACTCGAGCCGAATTCAGTCCTTGTTGTACCCGATTACACCTGCGAGCACCAGACGGGGACCAAGAAGTGCCATATTTTAGCGCTCTTTGGTATGGCCAGCGGTTGGGGATCGAACAGCATTGAGATTCAGCCTGATCCGTGTTGAAACTTCAAATGAAATTTCAGACCATCAAATTTAGAGACTCTCAACTGGCCCAATATTCATCTAATTTAAAAACACCCGATGCGTTTATCTACTAATTGCACAATGCCATTTAGAAAGTGGTCAAAGGCAACATACTAGAATTTGTACTTTACTAAGAAAGTGTAATCCCAAATATAACATATGTTACATTTGACCACTTTCTAAATGGTATTGTGTAATCATAGCTTTCGGCTGTGGGAGCCGTGCCAATTTACACTTATCAGAGGGGTACACAAAGTACGCAGTCTAGACTACCAGTTGTCCGACTTCCATTCTTGTGGAAGTCACGGCGGCTGAGCGGGTTAGGCTGACTTTGTGTGCTGGCGATTAGGTGCCTGACTATGGGGTAGTCGGTTCGAATCCCGGATGGGACTCAACTAAAAAAGTACTAGAATTTGTGCTTTACTTAGAACGTGTAATCCCAAATATGACATATGTAACTTTCTCGTATGCCGGAGAAGGAGAAACACATACCTTAGTTCCAATGACAGCAACTTGCTGGTCGTCTAGAGTGTGCCACCAGTGCACCACGCACACATCACCTTTAGAATACAACACTGGATGAGAGTGGAACTGACGAGGTCTATAGGGTTCTAAATGTTGCGTTATTTACGTAAAACAGGCAGCACATGTAGATCAAAACACTAAATGAGAGTGGCACTTTCAAATGATAGAAGTGTTCTAAAATGTTACGCCTTTTTATGAACGGTGTTAACATAAAACAGACAGCACACGTAGAAAAAAACATCGGATGGGTGTGAAACTAATGACGTCTATAGGGGTACATATTTCACACCTCTTCTTTATTGATGTTGTTGATTTATGACAAACACAGGTCTAAGTCACAACTGTGATTTTTGTCCACACCTTTTGTTCATCAACGCCACACCTCAAGAGCTTCTTGAGCATAAACATTGCAGATGGAGAGGTCAGGTGAAATTGGGTTTGACGTCGTGCTTGAGAATATTTCGCTCATATGACAAAGTGCATGCGTGTGTATGTGTATGTGTGGCTGCTTGTACTAGCCCAGACTGAAGCTGGTTTTATAGTGCAAGCTCACTGAGATACCATGCCGCAGTGAAGCATGAACACCCCACTCAGACACATTATACTGACTCCAAACCGACAAGTCCTTGTTGTACCCATTAATGCCGAGCGCCAGGCAGGGACCAACAAATACCATATGTGAACGTCTTTTGGTTTGACGCGGTTGGATATTGAACCCGCGACCTTCCGGTCTCCGGGCGGCCGCTCTAACCACCACACAACAGAGGCGGTCTGCAGATGGGGAAATAGTGTCTGCATTTATCAAAACAACAGGAGTAATGAGAGCATATTCTGAATGACTTCATTTTAGCAATTCCAATGAAATTCATGTACAAACTAACATTTTCTATGACACATATCACATACATACATTATCTAGCAGCAACTTAATAAACTGATGACCTTAATGTAATTAATACATTCACGGTGTTAAAGAAATTTCACAGTTTTAACATTCCAATGGTTTGTTTGTCACAGCCAGACCTGATGAGATGACTCAGTAATTTTTCAGCTATTTGAAGACTAGCAAAATGACTTTAAGCAATATTCCTTAGCTACGATGGTGGAAAGGGGTGACTATTGAGGGGGAACAGTTTTTTCTCCTTGAATTGTCTCATTTGAAGTTGTTTTCCCAATGAGGGTATAGTTTATATGAAATAAAAACAAGTTGAAGTAGTTTCAGTCTCTTTTAATAACTGACAAGAAACTTGAAACCCAGATCAAGTTAACAGTTAAAACATAAACTTATTGATATTCACAATTTCGCATGGCATGTTTGTTTAAGAGGTAACAGGGGCAGATAACTCTAAATCAAAGTGAATGAATCTGGTACTTATAGTATTTTGCACTGCGCATTTATGAACGGAATTCAATTACTAAACTATCGATAGTCACACATACTATCGATGCATCGACAGGTTTTCGTTTCCACCATCGATTAATTGCAATGAGAGACGTAACAATTGCAATCCATCGATAGTTCGATGCATCATTACAGCACTATTAGTGGGGAAACACAAGAAATCAACAATACTTATCACTGAGTATAACTCGAACTAACCTGTAGAGGTTTCAGATTCTTTGAATATATTCCTCCTTGGGGTACTTAAAAGCATTTAAATGTCCATTTAAAATCCCTACGACAGTTGTAACAATATTTGAATAAAAATATTTACAAAACAAAAACTACGTTTTGTCTTGTGAGACCACCCTTACAGGGCCCTCCGGCCCCCTACAGCCAAGAGCAGGTAACTCTAGACCGTAACCTCGTACCTCACTTTCCATGCTGAGCGACATCAGACAGAATGTGGGAGGTGGTAGTACCCCAAGGAGGAATATATTCAAAGAATCTGAAACCTCTACAGGTTAGTTCGATTCTTTTATATATTCCTCCTTGGGGGTACTTATAAGCATAAGACAGACTCCTAAAGAGCCCGAGACTAAGGGCGGCATTCTGTCTGCAGAAAACACCCCGACAAAGTGGAATTTCCCAAGCTAATTATAGCAGAAAAAGCACACTTACCCGGTCACGTGTCCACCATAGCCAATCAGGCGGGGGCATGAGCCAGGGTCAGGGTCGAACATATGTAAATTGCCCAGCGAAACCTCGCTAAAGCAAACTAACGAGACACACCCTCCCTCCTTCCCGTAATCTGCACTCGGAGCGAAGATAAGGGTCCCGCTAATAAGCCGCCAGAAACGAAATGCCTTAATATGTATATATTTAGCAAAGTTTCCAAGGCCAGTAAAGTCTAGAGCAGAATGCAAAAGACATGGGAATAAAAACCATCACCACATAAAACCCGTCACCAAGGGAATATGTAAACAAGATTTTTAAAACCCAACACCAGTGTTAAAAAATTTGGCATAGAATGGTTCACATAATTCCTCGAAAGCTCAATCGGCTAGAGAGGTGGAACCATGCCCACTGGAGAGAACTGACTGACCGAACCGAGCCTTGCGCTCACTGGAGAGTCTGCCAAGTTGGTAATAGCCGGATGAGCGTGCTTTCGGACGGCTCCAAATAGCAGCGAACGAGATCTCCTCAATGGGCAGGGCTGCAGCGTAAGCTTTTCGATGTAGCAACTGCCCTAACCGAATGAGCTTTCAACCCTACAGGCGGGATACGCCCTGTTTGAGTATAGCTCATATGTATGGCAGAGACAAGCCACCGAGAAATGGTTTAAGCTTGGTGGCGGAAGACCAACCTGAACCCGCCATAACAACAAAACAATTGGTTACCCTTACGGGTACCCTTGTTCGATTTGATATAAGCCTTAAGTGTCTTACGGACATCTAAGATGTGAAACACGTCGTAGAGAGGTACCCGGACAGGAAGGCTGAGTGAAAGCTGGGAGCTCAATAGGCGCAGTCACATGGAAGGGACTATCCTTCTTAGGGCGGTAGAGTATCAGGCAGCCGTATGCTAACTCTGTCTTTGTGAAAAACATTAAAGCGGGAGGATCGGCCCGACATTGCGTGAATATCGCCAACCCGCCTGCCTGAAGTCACACGCCACAAGCGCCGTCTTCCACGTCAACAGCTGGAGTGAAAGAGCCGACAGATTGTGAAAACAGTGGACCGGACAGCCAATCAAGAGCGATTGACAAGTCCCACGGGGACTAATCCGCCCGGATAACCCGGACGGATTCTGTCCACGCCTGCTAAAAGCTGTGTACAAGAGGTGCTGCCCCAAAGAGAGCACCGTCAACAGGAATATGAAGCGCCAGAAATAGCTGTAGAATATCCTCGAACAGTTGAAGCCGCTAGACCGGCGTCAAGCGAGACTAGAGGAATTCTAAAACACAGACTAAATCTGTAGAAAGGGATCAAGAATCCCCTGTTGACACACCAGCCTTGAATAACAGGCCCATCTATCCTCATATTGAGCGTTTGTCGAATCCCTCCACATGAAGCCAGAATTGTGTCTGCAACTGGTTCAGGAATTCGCTTCGCGGAGGCGATCCCTGACAGCAGCCCGAAGCCACCCACTGAATCCTGGGATTGGTGGGAGCACTCGTTCTGGGATAGGAGGTCGGTCGAAAAGGTAATAGAACAGGAGGCTGAGTCAGAAACCTGAAATTACGGAAACCAGCGTTGTGCCGACCAAAGGGGTGCCAGAAGCACAAGTAGCCGAGCTGGTTGTGCGGTCAGCTGTGACAGGACCCTGGAAATCAGTGGTATGCGGAGGCCCACAGTACCCTGTCCGTCCAATCGAGCTGAAAGGCGTCGTTGGCTAAGCTCCCGGATCGAGGAATCCGGGAGCAAAACACAGGAATCTGGTTCGTCACCCCAGGCGCCAAACAGATCCACCTGGAAACGACCGAACAACTGGGAGATAATCCGAATATTTCGGTCGAGCATCCACCGCGTGTGGGGCTAGTATACGCTGTGAGAGTGCATCTGCCTGGCGTTGTCTACCCGGGGAGATAAACAGGCAAAACCGAATGCAACTGATCGCACCACAGTAGAAACTGCCACGCCTCCTGAAGGGCGGCGGAACACTGTGCCGCCTTGCTTGAGATGTAAGACATGGCGTTTGATTGTCCATTTCTAGGCGAACCACACGGCCCTGCACCAACACCCGGAAGCACTCGAACACCCTGCGGACTGCTCTCAGTTCTAACACATTGATGTGTAGGCTGACTTCCCGCTCCGACCAGAGGCCGGATGCTGAGTGCTCGCCCAGGACCCCCCCCCAACCTGTGAGGGAGGCGTCCGTCTGAACTGAGAGGGAAGGTGTCGGGGTGTCGAGGGGGATCCCCCTGGACAAATTCCGGCGTCCGTCCACCATCGCAAAGTGAGAATTAACCACTCTGGCGTTGTGAGAATAATCTTATAGCTCTGCGAGTGGGACCACAGCTGAGCTAGCGCTTGCTGAACTGGTCGCATCCTCAGGCAGCGCCGCGCCAAACCACGTCCACTGTCGCCAGCCATGTTGCCCTAGCAACCCGAAGCCATGTTAGGGCTGGCGCATTTAGGCGACTGGAGAAACTGTGTAACAGTCCTCTGGACTTTGGCGATGCGGTCGAACAAAGAAACAATCCCTAGCTCCATGTTGAATCTGGCCCCAAGAATATCAGATCCTGCGTCGGAGCGAGGTCTGATTTCTTGAGGTTGATAATCCAGCCCAGTGACACCAGAGTATCCATCACGCACAGTGTGGAGGCTCTGCTTAACTGAGGACCTAAGGCCCTGAGAAGCCAATGCGTCTAGATACGGGTGACAACACCTGCCCTGAGACCTGGCTAACTGAGCTGGGATTAGCATAAGTTTGGTGAACACCCTTGGCCCCGTGGAGATGCCGAAGGGAGCCGCCTTGAAACTGGTAGTGCGCCCGTCGAAGGAGAACCGGAGGTACTTCTTGAACTTCGGGGTGCATTGGAACATGGAGGTATCGTCTTTGAGATCGATTGGCGTAAGCCAATCCCTGTCTCGGCGGAGGAGATCACTGACCTGAGTGTCTCCATCCTGAAAGACGGCACCTCCAGTAACTGGTTCAACCCTCTGAGATTCAGAATGGGTCTGAACCCTCCGTCCTTTTTGTCACTAGGAAGTAGGTGGAAGTAAAACCCCTCTCCTTGCTGACCCACAGGAACCACCTCGATGGCTGCCTTGTTCAGTAAGGAATGAACTTTCGGCATCGGGCGTGTCCGCCTTTGCCCATCGGCGGGGAGGTCGGCACAGGCGTAGCCGAACCCGGAGAAGGACGGAGGATCTACGCCTCCACTGTGGCAAATGGCCATCCCTGAACGTGGACAGGACCCAGGGATTTGAGGTGGCTGCCTCCCACTCCCGGAAGGAATAGGGACAACCGACGCCCGACAGGGGCGTGTGGCATGAGGCAGTGCACCCCACAGTCGGCAAGTCTCCGCTTGCGTGAGTGGGGGGCAATAAGGGCTCTGGGGAAGTGATCAGTGGGAAGCCGGGGCTGGCTTCCCCCTGCCCCGAAAAGGCTGCTGAGCTTGGGCAGGCCTGCCCTTGCCTCTTCTTGCGCCTGCTCGCTTGGACTGCAAGGGGCAGTCCACTTTGCAGTGTCCTTCCGCCGGGGCAGAAGGATAAAGCGAGCGGCGGGAAGGCCGGTGGCGAGGAGCGGAGGGTTGCTCCAACAAAGGCTTAGAGTCTTTGAAGGTAGAAACAGCCTCCGCGGCCTCTGGTACAACCTGCAATGCCCCAGGGAACAGGGAAGATCCCATGGTATTGGGCAATGACAGGAGCGCCTGTTGCGTGGCCGGTGAATACCGCGCCACAGACAACCACAGGCGGTGCAGGCCCATCAGGGCACCCATCATTTGACTGGCACAGCACCGAATGCTATCCCGAGCCAGATGTGAGTCGGCGTCACAAGCGCTCTGGTCCACCAGCTGCCCCTGCAGAGCAGACAGGTAGGCTGAGTGGACCGCCACCTTTAATTGCTGGGCTGCGCACCGGTAGCACTCCTCGAAGGACCGGTACGCAGACTTCAGCGTAAGGGAATTAGTAGGAAAAGGGGGGAGGAGCCTGCCCTGCCTGACCGAGGCCAGGGAAGACGAGGACGATCCCCCCAAAGTAACGGACGCAAAGACACACTCGTCCACCACTGGCGGCTCGAATAGCGCCTCCTCTCCCAACTGGTACCTCGTGCCAACGTCGGGCAGATCAAATCTCGAGCGAGAACCAGTCAAGAGAGGATTTACCACCTCACCTACCAGTGATGGTCGAATGCGGAGGCACGCCTCGGCGACCTTGGCAGGCCCGAAAGCCTCCCCCGGGAGCCGAAACTCCGCGGGGTCGGGCGCCTGTGTGGGAACGGCCACCTGGGGCAGGGCTTCGGTAATTTTTTCCCGCACCTGCCTCAGAGATGAGCCAAAGGAGTACGGCACTCCCGCCTCCGATTCCTCCGGGATCAAGCTGCCCTGGGGGAGGCGCGTTCCCCGCAGCCAACCCCCCCAGATGTGTCAGATCCACCCCCTACGACCGGCGCGCTGAGCTCCTTACGGAACCCATCCAACGCCGTATCGATGAGAGATTTCACTGGCGCCATCTGTTCCTGGAATAAAGTGGCTAGTGATTCAACAGGCACAACTGGTGCCGACGCCACAACATGGGGGGTGGTGGTAGAGACAGGAGCAGGTTGAGGTTTGGGATTAGATGCCTCCTTGGAACCTTTTAGCTCTTTTGGGGAGCTGGCTCCGTTATGGAAGCGGCTCCCGTAGACCCCCTTTTTGTGAAGCGGCTTGGACAGGGGATCCTGTGCCCAGATATCACCCCGCCGAATCAGGTTGCTGTAGAACAGCTGATCCACTCGTCGTGCTCTAATAGTTTGGGCGTGAAAGTGGCACATGCCACACACCCCTCTTCCTCATGCTCAGTTTGGGTGAGGGCAGCGTAAAGCACACCTCGTGTGTGTCCCTGGCGGGAATGGCAGCGAGGCGCACGCAGAAGTACAGGATTTAAACTGCAACAAGTAAACAACCTGTGCAGCAATCAACCCCATACACACATACATATATGAAAAAACACGATGGGCGACACAACTAATGCGACAGCGTGGCATACAGTTGACAATAACCATAATACGCACTGACATAACTTCTTACTTATTATCGTGAAGATAGAAAATGCAAGCAGTGGAAGCGCCCTACATGTAACCACATATAAGTAAAAATGACTAAAACCACCTGTAACATTGAAAACCACACGGGAAACCGATGAACAGTGATGATAGCGAAGGGACCTGGCGCCATCTTGGCATGCACCGGTGACTTCCCGACAGCGACAGGTACCAAGTTACAACTAAAACTTATGAATGAAAAAGTTCAGAACAAGCCTTCAAATCGCCCATGCAGGTAAAAAGAGAACCATACATACAGTTGCTGTTTCTGACCCACTCATAATTCTGGCGGAAAAACTTTCTTGTAATGGACCCACGTCTTGTCGGGAAACGACAGCATGGAAAGTGAGGTACGAGGTTACGGTCTAGAGTTACCTGCTCTTGGCTGTAGGGGGCCGGAGGGCCCTGTAAGGGTGGTCTCACAAGACAAAACGTAGTTTTTGTTTTGTAAATATTTTTATTCAAATATTGTTACAACTGTCGTAGGGATTTTAAATGGACATTTAAATGCTTATAAGTACCCCAAGGAGGAATATATAAAAAAGAATCATAGATTGTTTGTCACATAAGTCTCTGTATGCAGCATTAAACAAAACCCCATACAACTTGATTATACAGTGTAATATATCTGATTTCTATTCTGATAAAAACCCTGGATAAAGTCAGGGATGAGAATAAAGTTTTGAGAAAAACTCTGAAACCTAGCCAGGGGGTTAGCATCTATCGGATTTAGATGATTCACAAAAATCACCCTTGGCCCTATGAAATTCCTGGAATTCCGCAGATCCGCAGAAAATTCTCATCCCTGTAAATTTGTTAGCGTCGTTTTTAAACAGATTCAAAACTAGATGTCCAATCAAATTACCCTGATTGTAATAGTAACATGGCGGGTGGTGGAACAAGCTACAAACCTATTCTGTGCGGAGAATGATGATTTTTGTGGATATACAAATTCTTTATTCTGTGGGCTGACATTTTGACATAGATTCTAATGTCGTTTGTCAAGCAAGCATCCTGTACAGTCCCAAATAAAAGACACAGATCCATATGAACATGGCATCCTCTATACTATTATATACAATGGCTGCTCACATATGCTTTGTGCTTACCCAGGATTTACAGGATCGCCGAATTCCTAAGGCCCTATATGCATCCACAGGGCATCCACAGGGAAAAAAGTCAAATACTTTTGTAAAAATTCCAATCAAGTAACAATAAGTTATCACTGAGTTTGCTACTAGCTGGGTTATGGTATCATTTGCATTTTAATCACTGTAACAATGTGATGATCATGATAAACAATACAATAACAGTATTAGTAATAATATTTAAGTGTCTGGGACCCCCATTTTGTTGTCCAGGACCCCTGAAAATTATAAGCATGAGTCCCAGGGACCCTCAAATACAGGACTCAAGGTAAATCCCTGTTTACCCCTCGATCATATGATGTCAATATCACCAGCACTTCGTATTATTTATCTCAACTCCCTGGGGATCATACAATTCTTGCAGCCACTAGGCGCACAAGGTTTATGTGGCTTTCCCATCCTTACGAGGTACCCATTCACAGCTGGGTGGACTGAGACACATAGTGACAGTACGTTGTCCACATTAACTGCACATTGTTGTACCCGCAACTAGGTGTTTGCACATATTCCTGTGGCTATCATCTGGTCAATTACCATCGGATTTTCGGGTTCAATTAAGTGCACAGGGTTGTGTACTGTACACTAGGGGTTGTGACAACACTGAAAGAGTCTGCACACAAAGTTGACTCCAAGGTTTTTACACCTGGTCACAGGTGGGCTCGATCCCGGCACCTCAATCTCTTTACAGAATACAAATGCTGACAGATTGGCTGCTGGTCTTAGTTTGTTGTTTAACGCCACACTCAGCAGTATTCCAACTATATGGGGGCAGTCTGTAAACAATCAAGTCTGGACCAGATGATCCAGTGGTAAACAGCATGAGCATCGATATACTCAATTGGATACGATAACGTGTGTCAACCAAGTCAGCAACCCTGACCACCCGATCCCGTTAGTCGCCTTTTAGGACAAGCATGGGTTGCTAAAGACCAATTCTAACCCGGATCCGCACGGGTCTTGCAGAAATCGACCTTCTAAATGAAAAGGGGCGGTGGGGTAGCCTAGTGGTTAAAGCGTTCGCTCGTCACGCCGAAGACCCGGGTTCGAATCCCCACATGGGTACAATGTGTGAAGCTCATTTCTGGTGTTCCCCGCCGTGATGTTGCTGGAATATTGCTAAAAGCGGCGTAAAACCAAACTCAGTCAGTCAGTCTAAATGAAAAAGAACCCTATGAGTATGAGGTTTACTGCTTTGTGTTCATGAATATGATCTTAGACAAAACTGAATGCTTTGATTACCCTTTGGCTGTTGGAGTTTGATGTGTGTGACATCGTCTGTGTTCCAAAGTTGGTTCACACGTGCCTTGGGCTCCTGAAAATATAATAATAATCATAAACACCAGCAATATTCCTGCTACATGGCTGTGGTCTGTAAATAATTGAATCAGAACCAGACAATCCAGTGATCAACAGCATGAGCATTGATCAATTGGGATACGATGACGTGTCAACCAAGCCAGTGAGCCTGACCACCCGATCCCGTTAGTCGCCTCTTACGACAAGCATGGGTTACTGAAGATCAGTTTTAACCCGGATCTTCACTATGAGATGGAAGGGGGTGCATTATACCACATACTTTATGTGATACTGCCTCAACATATATATTATATAGTCTGGCCATGAGTGAGAAGGCTGGCACCAGATAGATGTGACTCACCATGAGGGAGAAGGCAGGCACCAGGTAGATGTGACTCACCAGGAGGGAGAAGGCGGGCACCAGATAGATGTGACTTACCATGAGGGAGAAGGCTGGCACCAGATAGATGTGACTCACCATGAGGAAAAAGGCTGGCACCAGGTAGATGTGACTCACCATGAGGGAGAAGGCAGGCACCAGGTAGATGTGACTCACCATGAGGGAGAAGGCTGGCACCAGGTAGATATGACTCACCATGAGGGAGATGGCTGGCACCAGATAGATGTGACTCACCATGAGGGAGAAGGCTGGCACCAGGTAGATGTGACTCACCATGTGGGAGAAGGCTGGCACCAGATAGATGTGACTCACCATGAGGAAAAAGGCTGGCACCAGGTAGATGTGACTCACCATGACGGAGAAGGCTGGCACCAGGTAAATGAGACTCACCATGAGGGAGATGGCTGGCACCAGGTAGATATGACTCACCATGAGGGGAAGGCTGGCACCAGGTAGATGTGACTCACCATGAGGGAGATGGCTAGCACCAGATAGATATGACTCACAATGTGGGAGAAGGCTGGCACCAGGTAGATATGACTCACCATGAGGGAGAAGGCTGGCACCAGGTAGATGTGACTCACCATGAGGGAGAAGGCTGGCACCAGGTAGATATGACTCACCATGTGGGAGAAGGCTGGCACCAGGTAGATATGACTCACCATGTGGGAGAAGGCTGGCACCAGGTAGATGTGACTCACCATGAGGGAGATGGCTGGCACCAGATAGATGTGACTGACTCACCATCAGGGAGAAGGCTGGCACCAGGTAGATATGACTCACCATGTGGGAGAAGGCTGGCACCAGATAGATATGACTCACCATGAGGGAGAAGGCTGGCACCAGATAGATGTGACTCACCATGGGGGAGAAGGTGAGGTGAGGTGAAATTGGGTTTAACGTCGGGCTTGAGAATATTTCGCTCATATGACGACGGGCATGCGTGTGTATGTGTAAGTGCGGCTGCTTGTACTAGCCCAGACTTAAGCTGGTTTTATAGTGCTAGCCCACTGAGATACCATGCCGCAGTGAAGCATGAATACCCCACTCAGACACATTATACTGACTCCGAGCCGACCAGTCCTTGTTGTACCCATTAATACCGAGCGCCAGGCAGGGACCAACAAGTACCATATTTTAACGTCTTTTGGAATGATGCGGCCGGGGATCGAACCCGCGACCTTCCGCTCTCCGGGCGGACGGACGCTCTAACCACTACACCATGGAGGCAGTCATGGGGGAGAAGGCTGGCACCAGGTAGATGTGACTCACCATGAGGGAGAAGGCTGGCACCAGATAGACGTGACTCACCATGTGGGAGAGGTGTGACTCACCATGAGAAAAAAGGCTGGCACCAGGTAGATGTGACTCACCATGTGGGAGAAGGCTTGCACCAGATAGATGTGACTCACCATGAGGGAGAAGGCTGGCACTAGGTAGATGTGACTCACCATGTGGGAGAAGGCTGGCACCAGGTAGATGTGACTCACCATGAGGGAGAAGGCTGGCACCCGGTAGATGTGACTCACCATGAGGGAGATGGCTGGCACCAGGTAGATGTGACTCACCATGAGGGAGAAGGCTGGCACCAGATAGATGTGACTCACCATGAGGGAAAGGCTGGCACCAGGTAGATATGACTCACCATGAGGGAGATGGCTGGCACCAGATAGATGTGACTCACCAGGAGGGAGAAGGCTGGCACCAGGTAGATGTGACTCACCATGTGGGAGAAGGCTGGCACCAGATAGATGTGACTCACCATGAGGAAATAGGCTGGCACCAGGTAGATGTGACTCACCATGACGGAGAAGGCTGGCACCAGGTAGATGAGACTCACCATGAGGGAGAAGGCTGGCACCTGGTAAATGTGACTCACCATGAGGGGGAAGGCTGGCACCAGGTAGATGTGACTCAACATGAGGGAGAAGGATAGAGCCAGGAAGATGTGACTCACCATGAGGAAAAAGGCTGGCACCAGGTAAATGTGACTCACCATGAGGGGGAAGGCTTGCACCAGGTAGATGTGACTCAACATGAGGGAGAAGGCTGGCACCAGGTAGATGTGACTCACCATGACTAGCACCAGGTAGATGTGACTCACCATGAGGGGGAAGGCTTGCACCAGGTAGATGTGACTCAACATGAGGGAGAAGGCTTGCAGCAGGTAGATGTGACTCACCATGAGGGAGAAGGCTGGCACCAGGTAAATGTGACTCACCATGAGGGAGAAGGCTGGCACCAGGTAGGTAAGACTCACCATGAGGGAGAAGGCTGGCACCAGGTAGATATCTGGGTTATGGGTCAAGATGAGGAGCCAGGTCACTGTTGGGTCAAAACACATTGCCACAATTGTGGTACTCGGTATCCATGACAACTGTTTAATAAGTGGAGGTTTTCCAGCAATGCAATACCGCAACACAATCTGATCTGAAATCATCAATAAGTACTTGAAATATAAATAGATAAATGAAAAATAGATTAAAAACTTAATACAACATGTGACATGGAGCAGATAACAGTAACAGTGGGTGAGTGAGTGTTGAAAAGTGTAAGACTGACTGACTGAGTTTGGTTTTACACCGCTTTTAGCAATATTCCAGCAACATCACGGCGGGGGACACCAGAAATGGGCTTCATACATTGTACCCATGTGGGGATTCGAATGCGGGTCTTCGGCGTGACGAGAAAACACTTTAACCACTAGGCTACCCCATTGCCCCTTGAAAAGTGTAAGAAATGGCCTTAGTAAATGAAATAACAGTAAACCATTTATAATTAAAAAGTACAAAAATACAACACCAAATATTCTAATACACACATCTGCATCAGGAATTAATCTTTCCTATCTATTTGTGATTACAGTTGGAAATACATTTGTAGGATGTTGCTATGGAAACGGTTCCATGGGATAACAAGTGTGCCAACAACAAATAGAATACTAAGTATTTGCAAAACAGACTGTGATTTCTTGTTGTTTTACTTGTAATTTGCTTGAAGAGATCTTGGTGAGAAAACAAAATGCAGCAGTCGGATTTGACTGTAATCTGGGCCCATTCAACAAAGCAATCGTAACTCCAATACTTTACCTAAGCCAAAGACAATCGTAACTATAAGATCAGTGAGTGAGTTTAGTTTTATGCCGCACTCAGCAATATTCCAGTTATATGGCAGCAATCCAGCATGAGCATTGATCTACGTAATTGTGATACGATGACATAGGAATTGGTCGCAGATGTAAACCTATGTTAAAGTACTGAATTTACAATTGCCTGAGCACAAGATTTGCATGTGTTCACTTTGGTGAACGGATTCTGGTCAAGATTTATGTACCATTTGAACAAGCCAACGCCAGCATGTTGACCTCTCCTTCTTCCTTCCACGCGTACTGCGTGATGGAACTCTTTGGCTTGACACTGCCACGTGTCTCCTGACTCAGCGACAACAGCCGCGTCATTTCAAACAACGAGTGCTGCATGTTGCGGGATACAACTTCTACCAGTGGTGCGGCTATGACTCCTTCTCTTCAACTACATGGCTCATCAGGAACTCTTTTCTTATGTATTCATCTTTGATTCTATCCCATCATAGGTCTGTACAGGTTCACCAGTAAATCTAACCTGAAATAAATGTGATACAACTTAACTTGACAAGGGATGGTGGAGATCTTGCATGATGAAATAAAAGTATTCTTTAAGATAATGATACTAAATAAACATTTCTGTGTCCAAAGCAACCTCTATAAAATCATATCTTTTCTTCTGATATGATATCTTTCTGTATAAAGAATTGAGGATATTTCTATTGGAGGTCCTGGGCCCGTACTCTTGAAACGTTCATAGTCCTAAGAAGTCTTAACTTTGATCGTAGCCAATATGTTTAGAATGGGCTTAAGAAGTTTGTAGGGCTACGAAGGTTTCGAGAATAGCTAGCCTGGCAAGCAGGGATGACAGAAAGTACCGGTAAAGCATGAAGCTAGCTTACCTATTTCTCTTAATAACAAGTATATTCAAGGAATTCCAAAAGTAGAAACATAAAGCCGCACCACTATATCGTTGTGGATACTTCATTCACCCTTTCATCATGTTTTGAATCATTTAAAAACGTTTACCGGTACATCCTATTTTGTCCAGGAAGAAAACAACAACAACAGAAATGGATCGTATAAGTGTATTAGGCTTAGTTAGTTCAGCATATAACGAGACAACTTAGCACTATACCAAGGTCTGCCGATGTTGGCTTTGGCTGGAATACAACTTTATTTATATGAACTATAGTATAGGCTCAGCATGAGGGAGAAGGCTCAGCATGAGGGAGAAGGCTGGCACCAGGTAGATGTGACTCATCATGATTTTCAATGATAGCAGGACTAAACATAATTTTAACAGTGCCATTGGCTTTGCAACACTGTTTAGCAAAACCTTTCATTGATGATAGGCTGGCACTCGTTGTATTGCTTTGCTAATAGTATGCCAGCAATAGACTATTAACAAGAAATAAGAGAGTTGATATTTTTAGAATTTTTCAAAATTTTTGACAGAATTCATGATAACGTGAATTAACAAATGGGTGTTCTGCTGAAAAACCTCTATGTCTGCATACACAGTACATAAATCAGAATTTGATCATCATTTCTTAATCAGCAGCCCTCTAGCAGCCAAGCTGATAATGATATGGTGATACAACATCTGTTTTACGATGCATTACACTGAAAATACACAGCTGCGTTTATGGATGTCGTCCAAATCGTTTCACCGTGGATATGGTCAACCAGCTTTCCGCCATATCCAACCAACTTATCTCATCACAAGTGAAGACTGACAAATGAAAAATGTACATGCCAAACCCAACCCACCTCTTGTTTACATGTCACATGTACCGGAAGTAGTATAACAGTAAGCAAAGATTTTAGAGTGATGTCCCCTGATTGTGTGTTCACTGAGAGCCAATAAATTTAAACATTGAAAATGTAGTCAAGAAAACTTTGATGCGAAACATCAGAAAAGCGACACCATAATATCATGTCGTCATTAAAATGGCAAACAAAATAAATGTGCACTAATGCAATTTTCCCATTATGTTTTATCGACACATGCATATATATATATATAATAAATAACATTAAAACCAGTTTTACACCCACACTTTGAATCCACCCTTTACATACTAAAGTTGATAAACACGGCATCTTCACAGTAAATGAGCACACTAGCTTTTTCAGGCTTTCATAGTGGCGGATTTACAACATAAATCTAAATGTGAATCTAAAGAAAACTAAGATTATTGTTTTTAGAAATGGTGGTCCCTTGCGCTCATATGAAAATTGGTTTTATAATGGCAATGTTATTGACACTGTATCCTTTTACAAGTACCTTGGAATTATGTTCACTCCTAAATTATCCTGGAGTAGAGCTACATCTTGCCTTGCATCACAAGCTAGTAAGGCAATATTCTCTGTTAAAAATTTCCAAAGGAAACTTGGCAGCATTAATTGTACAGATTTATTTAAAATCTTTGATTGTATGATATCACCCATTCTCTGTTATGGGTCTGAAATCTGGGGCACATCCTACTGTAATACCATTGAATCTGTCCATATTAAATTCTGTAAATATGTCTTGAAACTTGGGAAATCCACCTGTAACAATAATATGGTCTTGGGTGAATGTGGAAGAGTGCCTTTACAGTTTACTTACACAACCAATGCAGTGAAATACTGGTGCAGACTTCTAAACATGCCTGACTATAGATTACCAAAACAATGTTATTTTATGCTATTATCTTTAGACAGGGTAGGACGAAACTCATGGACAACTAGAATTAAAAATATTCTTTTTCAATTTGGCTTTGGATTTGTTTGGATAAGTCAAGAAATTGGTGATCACAAAATATTTATGGAATCATTTAAACAGAGACTACGTGATAATTTATTTCAATCTTGGCATTCATCTTTGCACAGTAACCGTAAATGTCTTTACTATAAGCAATTCAAATCTTTGTTAAATGTTGAGAGCTACTTGATAAATAATGATATCCCTCAATATTTAAAAAACTATATATGCCCGATTTCGGTGCTGTAATTTTAAACTAGCAGTTGAAACGGGCAGATACACTGATGTTGCATATAATGAAAGGCATTGCCTGTTTTGTAAATTAAGTGGTATCTTTGTTGTTGAAGATGAATGGCATGTGTTTTATATCTGTGATGCATATTCTCATATCAGAAATAAGTACATATCAAAATATTTTAGTAAATGTCCATCAATTATTAATTTTATATCAATATTACAGAGTAAAAATGTTAATATTATCAAGGATGTATGTCTATTTTTATACTTTGTTGACAAGAAACACAAATCTAAATGAAATATATATGTGCTCTACTTATCATCAATTTATGTACATGTATTTTGGGCCGGAGGCCTGTTACTGAAATAAAATTCTGTTCTGTTCTGTTCTGATTTACAACAAAATGTCTAGCAAATTAAATGAATTTTGAAGATTCTTAAAAAAATACAATGAAGAAGAGGACGACGACAGTTTCGTGGAGGATGTTCATCCTTTTAGGACGGCGCTGAGGAGAGTGGCTGTCTTCTTTAGGAGAGTATTCTCGTAGATTCCTCATCCAGTGTGCGCGTGTGTGTGATTGAGTATGGTGTGCGTGCGTGCGTGCGTGCGTGCGTGCGTGTGGCAGTGAATATATAGGTGTGAGAACGTGTTTATGAAATTTCATCGGATGTTTACAAACGTGTGTGTGAGTGTGTGCGAGATAGAGAGGTATTGGTTGACATGGTGGGGTGCCCTATTATCCCATTTCCCCAGTTTGGTCTGTTTTGGCTACAAGGGGTGCGGGTCCCTCTCTCTCTCTCTCTGTGTTTGGGAGAAAGATGTTCAGATGGAGATGTTTTTCTGTTGGATGGCGTATTTTAGTGCCGCTATAATGCCCTGATATCCCATTTGCCCCTCTTTGGCTACATCTTTCGGCTTTTTGGGGGGACAAACCCTTTCTGAGATGAACATATGTGAAATATACAAAAAGGAATCGGAAGACTTGGATCTTTCTGACTGAAAACGAATCCTCAACTTTCCTCAGCTCAGCCTAATTGTCCTTGGTTACTATCTCATAAAATGTGTAATCTGTGGCTATGCACTATGATCTTTTCTGGACAAATCAATATATACAAAGTCGTTTGCTCTATCCGACTGTGTTGCTGTCTTCCAGTCGAGTGTTAACAAGTTCTCTGTAATGGAAATGACGGGGTCTTTAGTCGTGTGCAGCTGTAGCTACAAACCTGATGTCGGAAGTCTAGATATTTTACGATGGCTTTACCTACTTTAAGTTACGTGCACAGTTGAATGATCGAGAGTGGTCTCCCTTCACTCTTTGTGGCTGTTTAAGCGTCACCTCGTCTTTAGTGAGTGAGTGGGATTTTACGCCGCTTTTAGCAATATTCCAGCTGTATCTCGGCGGGGGACACCAGAAATGGGTTTCACCCATTTGGGGAATCGAACCCGGCCCTTCTGGAAGGTGAACGAACGCTTTGACCACAAGGCTACCCTACCACCCACACCTCGTCTTTAAAAAGATATTTGTACATATTCTTAGACTGAAAGAGGGGTTGTGCTCCTCTTCTAGTGGTCATTTTCAATCCAGGCAACAGATGTACTATTTCGGTTCTGGTATGATACTGGGACAGTTATGGTGCTCATTACGTTGATCACTGGATTGCCTGGTCCAGACTCGATTGTTTACATACCGCCGCCATATAACTGGAATATCGCAGAGTGCGGCGTTACACAACCGACCATCCCTGATAGCTATAGGCTACAATATTGGATGAAGAAAACATAGTGGTGTTTGAGAAACGTTAACCAAACCCACAAATACAGCCATTTTGACTAGGTCTAGACTCCCCTTGATATTTTAGACACGGAAATCGCCATGACTTCAAAGTGAGTGAGTGTAGTTAGCTCTTAGCAACAGAATGGTTTTCACACGTTTTAGTTGGACACGTATCATCCGAAACATAAAGCAAGTACAGAAGGAGCACGTTACTTTTATGTCACGAATGGAGCTGTATGCTGAACGGAACACAAGCATGATTGAAACATGCAATATTTATAGTGATGATGATGATGACAATGATTGCTACTACTATTACTTTTACTTTTACTGCTGCTCCTACTACAAACTACCACCACTACTACCACTACCATTACTACTACTGTTACTACCACCACTACTACTGCTACCACTACCACCTGTCAGAACAGGTCGGTCATTACAAGCAACTGCAGGTTATCACACTCTTTGCCTTACAATTAGACGCCTTGCCTTGGCATTCAGATGAGCGGGAATATGGATGGAATATTGTGTAGCCGGGTTTAATTTCTTGATTGAATCGTGCACCAAATTAACAAACTGATCGCGCAAGCAGGTTAATGAGCTTTAAGTGTATTTGAAGGAATGGATGGACCGGTCTCTCTTATCCAGCTTGGTCGAGGCCGATGCACAAAGGGAGACAACTCTTGTCAGACTATTAGCGAGCGTTTATCAGCCCGATTTTACCCAGCCGAATTGCGTAGCTTATCTTTCCGCAGCAATTAGTGCAGCTACCGACAACCTATAAATGTACACCACGAGCTACACACCAGCAGACAGTGCCAATATCAGATGAATGGACTTTGCCAGCAACTACTTACGTTCACCAGTTTGCCAGTTAAAACTCGGGGTCGAAACAAAGACAACATGCACTTCTTTTTATCACCGACGGAAACCATGGCAACGGCTGGCAAAGCAGGATGTGCTTCCTTATTTGTAGTCGTTTTCATGTTTGTTTACAGTTCTATGGAAACAAATGGTCCCTGTCGAGAAATCCTAACCCCTATACATTTTAACTTGGTGCAAATGACCTTAACGTATATCTGTCCATTATAACCGGCACTGCATGTGTAGCCTATAGACTGCAACTTCTCTTTCTGGGATAAACTTCTGTGAAATAACAGAAAAGGGAATCGGAAGACTTGGATATTTCTGACTGAAAACGAACCCTCAACTTTCCATACTGGTATTGATCTTTACAGGGCTTTAGAGAATTGACTGCGTGTTTTCAAGAACTAACAGACACGACGTGGTAGTGAACTACAGTATATCCGACGTTGGGACACATAGGCATTGATTTAAAACTTATAAATCGTCAGGTATTTGATACCATGAGAAGCAGCTATAGCTGGCTGTTTGACGTTGCCGGAAACATTCGATGACGCCTCGTTCTGACTTCGTCTCCATGTAGTTACCGTTGTCGTTGCCAACGGTCCCCTCTGTTTTTAACAGAATCGCCATTGCTCTTGCTACCTATCGCTCTGCATTTCGTTGACTACAGCATCGTTCCGAGTTCTGCTACTGACAAGATGTTTACAAGGCTGCATATTCAAGGTATTTAAGCATTCATTCATTGTATTTTAAAGTGTTTAAAGTGTAGATTACCATTGAAATTGGCCGTAGTTTGACAGCAGTAACGGTGGGGATGACTGGCCGCCATTTGCAATTTTGTGAAAATTCCCAAATGTGTATCTGTTTAATGTCTTTTCTGCCCGCGAAATGAGAGCTCACGGTATTTATATACGACGGAGGGTATTGTTACAATCCTGTAGACATGTTTTTTACTATTTATAAGACATAGTTCGGGCATATTTTTTCTGTCCACTTTTCATTCAAATAGTTGGCCCATAATGGCTTTAGTAATAGATGGATTGTATACCAAAGCAGCGATTAAATGCCCATTATTATTCTTGTGGCCTATACTTGTCCCGAAAGAGATTCCATTGGCTCCATGGTCTATATTATCGGCAATCCGCTTGTCCACTATCGTTTCG